CAGATTTTGGTCATAAAATTAATAGGGTAAGGGTTTCTGGAAACAGGCGGGACACTCCCACCCAATTTTTCTGGGAGTACCTCCCCTCCCCTGGGATGCACAAATTGCGCCTTGCTGTACATGTAGAAGAAGGAATGAGAAGCTATGTACAGAATGTTGTGTGTGATTTTTTTAAAATAAGATAATATTATTGTTCCCTGTGACATGGCTCTCGTGAAGTCATTGATATTTTTATGTTCAGATCTGGAAAAGCATATCATAGCAGAAGACGAGAAACTATATGTCAAAGAAAAAGGGATTATCACAGATGAAATTCAAGGTACAATATACAAATAATTCTCGTAAACTATTTGGAATCCTCTTCTTCTGTGTATATGTAGATTGTGCATATTGTGAAACTACTGATATTAAAAACATGGGAAAACCCATGCATTACGTACAATGTACTTTTGCACTAACGCAGAGTTCTCCATAAGTACCAGGGACTAGTTTTAAATCCCTGTCACTACATGCTGTCCTGAGATATGATGTAACAGAACAGTGCCACCAATAAAAATTATTAGCTGGGACGTGCCTTTAGCCTATCAGAATTGAGACAGTGACATCAACATATTTGTACAAAATGATCTTCCAGTTATAATTTTCAATTGAACCCTGCCCTGCCCAATATAGACAAATGTGACCCAAATTTGTTCTCCTTTAAGTTTCATGAACTCAGAGAAGGTGGCTAGTGTTAATATTATTATCATTTGCCTCTTACACATAGAATTAGTGGCATACAAGACAGAGGATATCTGTCAACTTCTGATCGATGGCTTTCCAAAAAAATATCAGGTGAGATATAAAGTGACAATTCCATTAATTTTATTTCTTGTTTGTTTGTTGTTGTTGATATAATAATAATAATAATAATAATAATAATAATAATAATAATTTTTATTAAGAGGAGTGTTTATTGTGACAAAAACTAGAGCTAAGCTTTACAAAATAATAATAATAATAATAATAATAATAATAATAAATAATAATAAACAAAAAATAAAAAAATCCTGAAAAGCAATATTGATTAACAGGCAAACAAATAAATATTTAAGTATGTGTGTACAAAACAGCCGTAACAGAAAGTTGTAATTACTGTACATCACCAACTATAGATGAATTGTATTTTGAAACTTGTTTATACATTTCGTTTGTTGTAATGAAACTTTGAAGAAGCAATAGAGACTGCAAAATTACATTTTAGAATACTAATATAAACTATTGTTGTCATGACTAAATCAAAGACAGGAGAGATTGGGAATATTTCCACATGTGAGTTGTTTTCTTGTTACTGTACTTTTATTTGCAGTGCAATAATGAATAATAGAAAGAAAATTGCCAGTACAGTGTAACCACATTTTACATGTAAGTTTATCTCATTTTTTTAAAGGAGTACATTAGAGTTGCTCATATCAGAGAACGTCAAAGGCTCATTCGAAAAGCAGAAGAAGAGAAGGTACTGACAGTGTAAAGAGCTACTAATGTCCTTTTTCTTTGTCTAGACTGTCACATGTTCATGGACATAATAATTTACCATAACAATATTATGATGGTAAATGATGCAGCTCCCTCACAGTTTTCATCCTGATATAGAAAAGCTTGATGTAATTAAATTCATAAATGTTGCACAGAAGCATTTCTATAATTTGGAAACTCAGACTCTCCACCTTTAGACCTGTGTAATGCTGTACATTTATGTACGGTACGTCATTAGCTTAGTATGAAAAATTCCATGTCATTGTATCTCATGAATATGCCTCTATACCACTGTAGATTAGTAATAACCTGCATGATGAGAGGTTGTTGTTTTCTTATACCAACCTACATGTAAGTTTACATTGAGTATAGAACTCAAACTATTTATTTTCATCTTCCATTTTAGAAAGCACTGGAGACGAGGAAAGTGGCAAACTACATTAAGCGAGCCATCAAAGATGCAGCTGAGTTTAATGCACAACTGGCCCAGCAGAGAAGAGAAGAGAGGTGTTCATACTTTGATATGCAGACACAAGTAAGATAAACCTTCTGTAAATCCCTAGAAACCTAGACTTCACAGTTACATTTAAGTATTGCTCATCTATTGCTTTGTTTTTGCTTCATTACAGAGTGTACCATTCAACTACATGTATGTATTTCCTTGCCTTTGTATTAGTTGCCACCCTTCATATAAGTGCCTCCTGTGAACCAGATATTTAAAATATCATTATTGCCACCTTCTTTTTCACATTCAAGTTATCTCTATCCTCACACTCTTATTAACTTGCTCTTGCATACTCTTACATGCAAGTTTGAACATGGCCAAGTTTATTATAATTATTTACTTAAGGTTGTACGTATGTAGACTAGGTGAAACTAGTCTAGTAATTCCCTGAACATCTACATGTATATAAGCGTGAACATTTTTGTCATTGTAGATAATTCATGTCCCATCCAATAAGACGACAAGATTACCAAAGCAATGCACCAAACCAAGTCTATATCCTGTTTCTCTTCTACCAGGACAATTCCAGGAATACTTCAAAAGGTAATTTCTCTCTGCAACTGACTATACATAAATCTGTTTAGCATTAAGGCTGGCCATTGATTTAAAAGTGTCTGCTTCCCTAGGAACATACAATAAAGGTGTGGCAGATCAGTGTAGATTGTTAGAACATGAAGTGTGAAATTCTAGTTGTAAATGCTTCAGACAGCCCTTGTCTTACAATACTTTTTGATGCATTTTCAGTAAGTTCAATTCTGAAATGTGTATAGATAACTAGTTTAGTTTGTTCATTCACCCAAGCCAATTTAAAGGCTGTTTTATTTTTCTTTTTTGCTTTATGTGTACATGTGTAAAAACCAACTCGTTCTGTAAAATCTGTGGTACTTAACAGAGTTTTAAAAATTGTGCTGATTTTTATCCACACTCTCAATTTTTCATCCATTATGGGGAAAATCAAGCCAGCAAGTCATAGCCTGTGAGTTAACCTTTAGTCTGGCAAATTTGCTAAGGGTATTCCAGTCAGGTAAAGGGAAAATAATATTATGAAGCACTTCATGCTATGAAAACTGTAGGTACATGTCAGCATCTGTGTCAATCTGCTTCTCTAATCTACAGGATCAGATTAAGTTTTATCAAATGAATTATCACTCAATGATTCTCAGCATACAAGATATTTTTCATTTCTATTTGTTTTCAACATTTTGAAAGGAAGGCAGAAGAAGATGTTGATTTTTTTTTTCTGTTGATAATACAGGTACAGCCCAGAAGAACTGAACAACTTTCCACTGGGCACTGTGATGGAAATGCCAAAACCACCACTGCCTCCTGCCCCATATGTACCCCCAGAACAAGAAGAATCTGAGGAATCTGATGACATATCTCTGCCAGTAGGTTGAGCTTAACCTTCTCTTTAGTGTAAAGGCTAATCTGAAAAGGTCCAAATCTGTGATTGCAACTCCAAATGGTCCTCTATGGCTTGAGTTAATATTATGCAATTGTTTATACATGTAGCTTAGAAAATATCGCAGACCATATGCTCATACTTGCATGTTTATAAATCATTACATTTGTTGCTGATCTATGTATGCAAACTCACTATAATTATGGCATCCACTGCTTCCAGTGTACTGCCAATGTATATTGCTTCATACCTCAGGTAACAGAGCATTCTGTTGAAGCTTACTATGGAAATGCAGTGATCATTTCTTCTCTCCCACTCATTTTAAGAGTAAGAGAACACTTATCTGATGATGTTTTATAATTTCACATTATATTATGAATCAGGAGTCAACAGAAGACGAGGTGAGTGGAAGCAGCTCAGAGGAAGAACCTGAAGAACCTCCAGCAAAGAAAACTCCTGGAAAATATAAAGTAAGTTTATTGACACAAGTGCAAATACAGGGGTACTGCATGTTATAGATGCACATCACACTATTCACTTGACTCTGAAGGTGATTTCCAATTGTCGAAACATCAGTTACCAACAACAATTCTTTTATAGAACTACAGGTAGCTCCACCCAGACAATCATACAAGATGAACTAGATGCATACCAGTGTGTTTCCCNGAACTACCATATAAAAAGGACAGGGGTGCTTGTTGTACCTTTTAGGGCTTGAAAAAGTAATTTTGGTACCTCTTAGTGTGTTGAGCCTCAAAAGCTCCACAGGGAAAGCTTTTGCGGTACCTTATAGGGTATTTTGCCAAAAAATTATAGCAGGAAATAATGTACTGTTTTAGAATTGGTACCTCTTTAGGGTGAAAAAAAAATGCCACACCCAGAAAACAGGATCTTGGTACCTGNCCCCCCCCCCCACCTCTGGGGTCTTCTCACTTAACATCAATTCCTCTCCCTACAGTGTAATTTGTTTGTCTTTGGTCATTGTGCAATCATAATGATACAATGTATGTGCAACATAAATGCTATCAGATGTTTCTGTCTTTGGGTTAGCCCGAGAGATGCAATGCTTGTATACGAAAAGAGTAAGCTTCTCCTTAGGTGCTGACTACATAGTGCTGAAATTTTTGTCCAAACCATGGCAGTCCTGATCTAAGCGTTTGTGAGGATTGTTATCTGTCCAAGACAGTCAAGCTATGTTTGAAGCCTTGTCAGCATCCTCAAGTTGAAGTCTTGGGTATACATGTAGCATGTGCAGAGACTCTTAACACACACAATAAAAACAACATTGACATTGCAATTTGTCCATGTGTTATCAAGTAACTTCAGACAGTTTTGTTTCCATCCAGAGAGGAGGATTTGCAGTCTTCAGCAGTATTTTTAAGTACAAGACGGATTTGGTCCATTTTATCGAAACATTTGTAAATGAAAGATTCTAGTAGCCCACAAACTGATGCTCTTTGAAGATAATTAGGTTCCAGTAATAAGTGTGTTTATACAATGTTAATGTATTACTATTTACATGTATCTCCACAGCCACCAAAACGCCCTGATGCTGTTTGTGGTATATGCTTGAAAGGCCCTGATACAAACAAGAAAGGATTGCAGGAGGATCTTATACACTGCTCACAATGCGAAAACAGTGGTATGTCCAATTTTGTACCTAAAATGTCATAGGCACTGTGCCATCATGTGCATATTACGTTATATTTGTCGGTTAGGAGGTTTGTATGGTGAAAAACTGTGCATTTTCAAGTCTGAGGTCACAGTTTTTCACAAAACAGACCAACCCTAAGACAGTAAATAACCAATTCATTTTTTCCTCTCTCTCTCAAATCACTTTTATAATTGTTGACCTTTTCACACACACATCGTATGCGGCTTACGTGACTGTGGTCAGAGATTGGACTTGAAAATCTGGACCACGCTAACAACCAATCAGATTGCAGGATTTGTTACCGTGCCCTCTTGGAAAACAATAAATGTACTTATGTACATGTAGATGATGGTATTGTGCATGTCCATCTGTGTAGTGTAATGTAATCCTAATGTTCACAAGCACACGTAATAGTCAATAAATAGATCTGCACTTTGCCTCTTGTGGTGTTGTTTATAACTGTTACATTTTTTTCCGTTTTGAAATTTTAAGTTGTGTAAAAACCAACTATACGCTGGCTAGAAACCAAGGTCATTTACTTGTATGTTTGCACAGGTCACCCATCATGTCTGGACATGAACACCCAGCTGGTTGCTGTGATCCAAACTTATCCCTGGCAGTGCATGGAGTGCAAGACTTGCATCATCTGTAGAGATCCATTTGATGAGGTAATTATTATTGTCCTCAAAATATTAATTGAGGAATAAAACCATAGTTGCTACGTACAGTTCCACCCCCATTAAACGGCCACCCTTGGAGAAATGGATAGTGGCCGCTTAAAAGGGGCTGGCGGCCGCTTAATAGAGGTAAAAACAATAGAAAAACCTCATCGGGACTTTGATTACTGGCCGCCTAAAAGGGGTGGCCGTTTAATAGGTGGCTGCTTTATAGGGTTCGACTATAGTTTGTAATCTGATACAGGGAACTCGAGACACACACATGTACGTAGTTTTCATTTGTTGTTTATTATGTAATTGATTCGGGTATTCGGGTAACCAATGCAGCATCTATGCAAGTCCTTTTTTGCTATACCCCGTCCCTCCCTGTTGTCCCTTCCCCACCCTCCCACGAGCCACTGATGAATCTGTAAAAGATCTCTTTTGTATGAAATCTCCCCTCTGTTTAGTCTGTCCTGACTGTGGGTAGTATACAGTAATCGCAAAGCTGTAATTATCACAGAATTCATTCGTTTGTACTCAAATGAAGAGTTGTTTGTTTACAGGATAAGATGTTATTTTGTGACGAGTGTGATCGTGGATACCACAGTTTCTGTGTAGGATTAAAGCAAATACCTGTAGGTGAGTATCAGTGACATGGTGCACTTGTAAAAATACCTATACTCTTGGATTTGATCTTCTTTGCTTTCTTCTGCAAGGCCACTGAGAAGTAAATAACCTAGCAAGCGTTCCCATACCGGAAGAGCTTTTCCGCGGCATTCTGGCCGCGCGCAAATTGGAGCGAGAGCAAAAACTTCGACGAAGCAGGGGGTGACGTTCCCTCGCTCGCCCCACCACCCCCTCCCTTGTCGATTTTTTTTCTCTAGCTCCAATTTGCGCGCGGCCAGAATGCGGAAAAATCCCTTCGTACCTGAACGCTTGCTATGCAGGCTAAGAAGTAATTCTCTCTCCAGTGTGTTGAAGGTATTGTAATAAATTTCATTTAATTCACTGAATGCAAAAGGTTACAAACTTACATGTAACAATGTTACGAAAACGTCTTTCCTGTTCTGAGAAACTGTTGCGACTTCTGCAAAACAAAATTGGTTTCTAGGACTTTGCTCAGTATCATTCTAACACTTGGGGCAAAATATTCGACGAAAAACTTACCGACTTTTCATACGGTTGAAGTGTGAAATTTCTTTCACCCTATAAGCGAATTAGTACTTTATTCTTCTCTTTAATTTGCTGGTAAATTTTTAATGTTATTGTAAACAAATGAATCGTCGACATTTTGCTTATGTGAACAATCTTTTGACCATGGGAATGAGATACATATAGGCAAAACCATTCACTTCACTCCGAGGTCGATTTCTCAAAAAAAAAATACCTTGTGCTTCAATATTACTCATAAAACGGTTACTTTTGATGGGTATCACTTGTTTGTGAATGATAATTATGTTGTTGTTGTTTTTGTGTGTTGTTTTCTAAATAAAGAGTTTGTGATTTTTCTTGTACCAGGTCGCTGGACCTGTGACATGTGTGGTATGTGCGCCTCGTGCTTAAGAAGATCGCCAGGTGAAGGAAACACTTCCAGATGGAAACACGAGGTTTGTTCATCAACATTAATTTTCTCCTTACACTATCAATACATTATCAACCAGCAGGGTGATGAGAATAAGGAAATGAATCTTCTAGAAAATAACGTTTTCATTTACATTGTGCATCTTAAAGAGCTGTAATTTCAATTTGCTGGATAACAAACAAAGATGATGAGAACTAATTAGAAATTGGCATAGGTGTCCTCCCTACTCAGCTTTAAGATTGGTGATGTGTGTTTGTCGTGAACCATCATCACCCGTAATTCGGACAACAATTTTGGATCCTTTGCTGCTGCGGAAACATAGCGAAAGTAAATTTACGCCTACAAAACACGAGTTAGACTGAAACAACGTCTGTGAAAATGATAGATTTTTTAGTGCACCCTCAAGGTTTTACAGTTACACCGAAGAGAAAATAACACAAATTCTATTAAGTCGTTACGTATGTCAAGCAATAGGGAGTTTCAGAAAGCAATGACGGCAACGGCAACGGCAACGTTGCTAAACAAAAGGTTTAATGAGCGGAACAATGGCTGTGCGCGTGCGTTATAATTCTTGGTACATTTCAATTCCGTCCTCTGCAAAACAGCAAAATGAAATGACCAAATTTTGCGCTGTCTGGAGAACGTGAACCACGATGGCTAATTTCAGGAACTTTTATTTCGAATTTATCGATGTGTCCGAGATTCAGTTTCGTGATAGCTTTGACAGTGATAAACAAAGTAAATGGCTTTAGGGTACCGCAAGATTCGTAGATAGAATATAAAATCATTAATTGACGTTGTCCTCAGTGTCACAACTGAGAGTTCGCTCCATAAAACCCGGTATAAAGGAAACTAAGAGCTTTGGAGCTACTTCGAAGTGTTATACTGTACTGTACTGTAAATTTTTCGGAGGGTTTTATTTTCGGACACTTTTTTTGTCCGAATGTGAAATCGTCCGAAATTTTTTGCAAGTAATGTTCCTCTTGACAATGTCGCATACGCTTTTACGCTTTTGTGGGACAATCTTTCTTGAAACAGCCGTTTGTGTAAGGGAGTGGTTTGTTGCGCTCCTTCAAAGCTGTTATCTGGGCGGACCTGCATTGCTTCCGTCTCCTTGACTGCCGTTCCCTTTCTAATTGACTTTACGCTCCCTTCCACAGTACACCAAACCACGTGACGGATCCGAGGTGCAGTTTTTACAAACCCTGTGCACTGCGTGTTCAAGGTAAAGCAGAAACAGTTAGAATGCAACTGTTTACAGTATACTATCTGTGATTAGAGAGGGGCCATTANAACCACGATGGCTAATTTCAGGAACTTTTATTTCGAATTTATCGATGTGTCCGAGATTCAGTTTCGTGATGGCTTTGACAGTGATAAACAAAGTAAATGACTTTTGGGTACCGCGAGATTCGTAGATAAAATATAAAGTCATTTTTTTAATCGACGTTATCCTCGGCGTCGCCGTCGTGGTTTCTTAAAAAAAGTGTCACAACTGAGAGTTCTCTCCATAAAGTCCGGTATAAAGGAAACTAAGAGCTTTGGAGCTATTTCGAAGTTTTATACTCTACTGTACTGTAAATTTTTCGGACGGTTTTATTTTCGGACACTTTTTTTGTCCGAATGTGAAATCGTCCGAAATTTTTTTTGCAAGTAATGTTCCTTTTGACATTGTCGCATACGCTTTTACGCTTTTGTAGGACAATCTTTCTTGAAACAGCCGTTTGTGTAAGGGAGTGGTTTGTTGCACTCCTTCAAAGCCGTTATCTGGGCCGACCTGCATTGCTTCCTTCTCCCTGACTGCCGTTCCCTTTCTAATTGACTTTACTCTCCCCTCCACAGTACACCAAACCGCGTGACGGATCCGAGGTGCAGTTTTTACAAACCCTGTGCACTGCGTGTTCAAGGTAAAGCAGAAACAGTTAGAATGCAACTGTTTACAGTATACTATCTGGACTGTGATTATCTGACTGTGCAAGTATTTTCTTAAAAGTCAAACACAGGACCTGGATAGTAAAAAGCACTTGCTCGATGTTTTTTTCTTAATGGCTCCCCTTTCACGATTTATTTCTTCAGCAGTTTTTGCTATGCAGGAATTATTTTTTTTNTCAAGGTAAAGCAGAAACAGTTAGAATGCAACTGTTTACAGTATACTATCTGTGATTAGAGAGGGGCCATTATTTTTTTTTTTTTTTGAGGGGGGTGGGCAATTTTCTTGGGCATGAGTTGTTTTCTCACCTTTAGGTTGTCCATGTTTTTTTTTGTTGTTGTTCGACAATAACTTGTGCAAGTATTTTCTTAAAAGTCAAACATAGCACCTGGATAGTAAAAAGCACTTGCTCGATGTTTTCTCTCCAAGGCTCCCCTCTCACGATTTATTTTTCATCAGCAGTTTTTGCTATTCAGGAATTATTTTTTTTGGAAATTGCCTAACCCCCTCCCCCTTCCCCGCCTTCCCCTCAAAAAAATAATGGTCCGTCCCTCATAGCCCACGTGGATGGAACTTGTTAAGCATTGTCACTCACTTCTATGCAGTATTATTTATTATGCTGTAGAGAAAGAGTTTCAGCCCTTTTGAGTATATTTGCGAGTAACTGTGAAACTAGATATTTTACACTTTGTTCTCACAGGTTATTCAGAGCTGGGAATTTCTGCCCAGTTTGTTTAAAAGTCTACCGAAACGACGAATCTGACTTGCCTATGGTGTGCTGTGACATGTGTGATCGCTGGGTCCACACAGGTTTGGATAAGTTACCTTTACGCAGCTTTTTTAATGACACTGGCTCGTGAAGATCTCCTTTTTACTTCATCTTTTCATATTGCTTGTGAACGATTGTTTTTCGTGGCATCTTCCATCGAAGTTGGTCATTGTATGGGTAGAAGACTTATTACTGAACAAAAAATACAACACTGACCAGGTACAAACGCGATATCTGTCTCGTCAGTCAGCCTTAAAAGGGACGTCTTCACCATCTACAGCCTCATGGTAGGAAGTTTTACAAAAAAGATGTAATTACGTATTGAACCGATTTTCCCCTTCGTTAGATGTGTCTACCAGGCCTAACTTGGAATTTCGGCGTTGAATCTTCACACAAAATTGACGATAAATCTGAAAATCGGTCACAAGAAAGTCGCAGCTTTCTTTCCCCAAATCAACTTACTGGTTTCACTCATGCAAACAATTTTACATTTACAGATTGTGATGGCATCGACGAGAAAGCCTATGCACAACTGGCCAGGACTAAGAGCAAGTACAGCTGTGTGCTGTGCCGCGGAGAGAAACAGGAGAGAATGGATTCCTTTCACAGAAAGAACAGAAACAAGACCACCTAAAATTACACATCACTATTTATTACTTGGTGTATCTAACTTTTATCGGTATTCTCTTGTTAATAGTCTCATAAATAATCTTGTGCTCGCTTTGGTAAAGTTCAAAGCCTGCTACCGTACTCGTGTCACTTGGTTTTAGCCCGCTCATTTAGAGAAGTATTCCGTTACTGTTTTCATCGCGGTCGTTGATGCTCACTTCAGGTGAAACGCGCGCAAAACCGTCCAAACGTGCCTCTTTTACAAATTGGGGCAAATTTCGCAAACGTGCTGGAGCACCATCGTAATTCAGCCGAGCTGGTAAATTCGGTGTTGAGAAATCTCGAAACGAACACGGCCAAAATGATCATGAAAGAACCATGCCCAGAATTTAAAGATAGAACTAACCATTTTTCATTCCAGATTAGATGGTACACTATTCAAATATTGCAATACTGTGTACTCGGACAGCTTGTATATGTTAATTCCAGAATTGGTCAATATCTAATAGTTCAAGAGCACAACATTCGACTGAAGAGCGTCATGTGCCATTTGTAGGCAGTCACTGTGGGATCCGATAAGAAAACATCGTGTTGCTGGATCTGGTAACCTTTTTGCGCTTCTTGCGGCTTCCGGCTCCTGCGGCGTAATTTTCAACTTCTTGCGTTTCGACAGCTCTTGCGGGTAAACCTCAAAACACGTCAGTTTCACTTTTTTGCTGGCTTGCGTCTTTTTGCGACCAAAGAAGTTCTTGCGCCACTTATTGCGCGTGCATTGTGGGCCTTTTCTGAGAAAAAGGACAGACCTTTGTTGCGTTCCTATTTAGATGGGTCTCTTCTCGAACAAGGAGAACAGCGGAATACTTTTGATGGTTGTCTAGGCACAAGAAAAGAGGGCAATTGTTGTAGTCTTGATCAGATGGACGTCTGGTCAGAAACGCGTACATTATGGCTTATAGTTGAGTCTAATCTGAGATGGGTCTCTGCTTATGACCGAGAAGTACGAGTCTGCCTAGACACAATAAAAGGGGCCTTATATTGTAGTCTAAATTAGATGGGTGTCTACTCTGGGAGACATGAAATATAGCGTATACTGCAGTCTCACCTAGATGGGTTTCTACTCGTACAAACGAAGTGACGGGAAAAAAATCATTTTATTTTAAACCAGATGGTTGTCCGCTCCGAGGGACAATGAAATAAGGCTTATTTGGTTGGCTGTCTAACTTGGGTAAAGGGCCTATTTTGCGGTTTTAATTAGATGGGAGTATCCAAACACAGAGAAAAAAGTAGGGCCTGCGATACACCGCAGATTCCTGACAAAAAAAAAAACAAAGTTCTCTAGGTAACAAATTGTTAAATTTGTACCCAGATCTCCCTGCGTTTGACGCTGGGTTCGAGATTAACAAATTGTGACAACGTGGATGGTTGTGGAGGTGGGGTTCGGGCCAAAAAGAAGCTAGTGTTTTTTTTTTAAGATCAAGAGCACTGTTGAAGGGAAGGAGCGAAATCGGATAGTTATTGCAATCTTAAAAGTTTTTTTTTTCAAAATGTTAATTTTACTGCAAAGTTCTGATCAAAATTGGAATCTTAAAATTAGCTTCAGAACAACAACAAACGTATTTCAGTGAATGATGGCCTTCATCGTGTAAATAACTAATATCAGTGAGATATCCGATCCGTCTAGTGACTTCCGTCAGTTATACCTTGACTTTACAATGTGATGTAAGTGCAAAAGCTCTTTGACAATGCCTGACTCTCATTCCGATAGCTGGCGCAATTTCAGTCAGCAGTGATTCCTACGGAGTAACTGGTAAGCAGATGGTGATCATGAGCAATCTTAAAACGCATGCGCTCTAATCAGTAGTTACCAGGCGTCTGATTCATTTAGATTTAAACCGATGGCCTTATTCGCATTTGATTTCTCGGCTTTCACGGGGTAGAGAGTATTTTAATATAATCCCTGTTTAACATGGCGACTTCAACCTATTTTCCCTTACCTACCCAAGCTCCGAGTATAATGGGCCGGGTTAGCGAAACATGTCTTGTTGTTGTAAACGACTGTCATACTACAGCAGGATAGTGAATTTGAGAGGGTGGAAGGGGAGGGTTGGGAATACCTAAAATGGGGAAGGTATACTCTTTTCAGCAATGCTATTGAAAAAACGGGTTGCTACAACGGGCAAAACCAATCCAAAATGTGTTAATAACTGTGTTCCCTCTAATTTGCCAAAATTACAATTCAAAGTCAGGAATGTCGACACAAGAATAACGCTAAGCAATCAAATTCTTCCAACTAGTTACATAACAAAGCGTAGCAAATGCATGCCTACCGGTCAGAAGAAATTGTACGTTGAACAGTGATAAGTGATGAAAATCCGCGTATCCCTTCATTCTAATTTATTACTGGTTCGTTGAGTTCATTATGTGTTAAGGAAATTCGAGAACAAGTTACTATGCGTTGATATGTGTTTATGTGCTTTGATTTATGCAAATGTACTAGCGTCTCTAACTGCATTGGAGGAAAGCCTCCATTTATATAAACATAAGTGAACAAGGATGCACGTGAAAAATTAAGAAAAAAATATATGTCTTGCTGGTCACTTTTGAAACGAGAAGGGTTTGGGAAGGAATCAAAACTTAAAGGGTTGCGTTATAGTTTGCCAGTTGCCATTTCATGTGCCATATCCACCTTCCCGAATCTCAGTTATCTTCCTTTTTTTCCTGCTGTTTCATCGTCACTTTTTCGTGTTTGGTGTAAACAAAGTATTTGGCTAGAAAACAATTTGCCCATTGTATGACAAAGCATTTCTCAGCGTTAGTGACTTTTGAGAGTTTGAACGTGTTTAGATGAAAAGACAACCATTAGAAAAGTCTACTCGTATTTAGGACAATGCTTCCCTGCTAACTTTCTAGCAACCCGTTTCTTGTTACATTTCTTATCACATTCCTCCACTCGCATTCGACGCAACTCTTCAGCCGTTGAGATGCTCTATGACAGATACGCAGCTCCTCGTTTCATAAATGACCAATCTTGCTTTCTTTAGCAATAAAACTCTGTATTAATGAACTCTAACAGCGATCGTTGTTGTTCTAATCTCACGTCTAGTGAGACAGCTGTGCGCTTAAAATCTTATTTACAATACTCCATCTTAAAGTTAGCATGAACTGCCCGTTTGGGAGTTTTGCCGAATCCAAACGTTCGATGTGCTTGTCTAGCGTACTCCTTGTCACGTTCGGACATCTTCGGCAATCTTCGTGAGAAACTCGGTTCTTACTCTTCCCTTCGGCGAAGACGACTCTTGTGCACGACTTCTTAGCAAGATATACAGACGTTTGTTCCTAAACAGTCGTTACATATGTGTTGGGGGGTAAGCCTGCTCGCCAGGCCTGTTCATATGCATGTAAGGTGACGACATGTAAGAACAGTCCGAGTTTGGTCGATAATACGGCGGAGGTGCAGGCGCAGGGGGAGGGTGTGGGGGAGGCATGAACACCGGACCAGAATTGTTTGTCAGCACGGGAGGAGTTGGGAAATTTTGACTGTGTGTTAGTGGCGTCGATGCTGGGCCGTTCTGCCACATGTTATTCATGTTCGCACTGCAGCTTGGCAGCTGGTAAGGCGAAGGACTTGATTTCTTTTGCTCGATTTTTGAAGGAGGAACTGTTCCAGGCGAGGATTTCTTCTCGAGTTTTCGTTTATTTTCGGCGGCTTTGTCCAGTTGACGGCACTTGGCTCTTCTGTTCTTAAACCACACCTAAAACGGTAAAAATACAACAAAAGTCAGTCATGTTGATTGCTGGGATAAGCTTCGAAGGATCTCCGCTAGCGAAGCATAAACTAATTTCACCGTAACCAATCTTTGATTGCTTTATCGATATTATCTTACTGTGCTTAAAATATGACTATTGCTACTTACACAAAGAAATTGCATTTTATTTTAACTGCACTGATAAACGTGTACTTTTAATATTCAACGGTAGACTTCAAAAAAATTGAAGATTCACTTTGTTTTAGTTGTCGTTTTAACAAATTCAATCCAAACCTCAGTTATACAACAAACCGAAAACTGCCTTGAGATAGTCATCTCTATATTGCACCTGTCAACGTAACTTGTCAGTCTCGCGTGAGATATTTCATCAGATCTTGATCGGATTTACTCTGGAATATGTCTTCGTTCCTCTATGGATAATCCTTCTAACAGCCTTCTTTGTTCAGACCGGTGATACAGGATTTATCCCACTGCTTGTATCAACCGTCCGACTGGGATTAAAAGTTTTAAAATTGTTTTTGTCTGGCCATGGGAATGACGATTTACGCAATCTTCTACCGCAATTTATTCGCATTTTTTAAATCATTACACCACCGCGAGCTTGATGTAACAAAGAAGCAGAGAAAAAAAAAACTATAGCGATTTTTATCTTAATCTTCTTTACGTTTTATTTCAAAGTAAAATGGGCAAGATAAGAGATAGGTTTAGCTACTCCTGTTTTGTATACATTAAGTGACGGGTTTTGCGTGGAATACTGGTACATATAAAAGTGAAAAACTAGTCACAGTCGACAATGATTCAAATTATTAACAGAAGTTTTAATAACTAACGGCAAAGGGAAGTGCTGTTCAACGAGTTTTCATTCGTCCACACACGTAAGAGTTAGAACCACCTTGTACAACATGACAAACGGTATCACATGAAAGTGCTGCTCAATAGCTTTCATTTGAATGGTAACACACTAGGGTTTCAACCACAGACTTAGAAGAAAAGATAGAATTACCTTGTACAACATAATAAACAGTACCACATGAAAGTACTGCTCAATAGCTTTCATTTGAATGGTCACATACTAGGGTTTCATCCACAGACTTACAAAAGAAAGATAGAGCCACCTTGCACAGCATAATAAACAGTACCACATGAAAGTACTGCTCAATAGCTTTCATTTGAATGGTCACATACTAGGGTTTCATCCACAGACTTAAAGGTAGAGCTTGTATAACATTTTTATGAAAGTCTGATCAATAGCTTTTACTTGGTCCGTCATGTCACTAACAAGGTAACCTCTATGCACAATTAAGCACAAAAGCCGACTTTTAATACATAAGAAAACGTTAATTTCATAGTGATTTAAATGTAAAGTAGAACATACTCCGGTTTACAACATGAAAATGTCTGCCTCCATTTCAACAGGAAGTTCTTTTTAAAATAACTTCTCCTTATAGAGTACCCTAAGTGATAAAAAAATAAGAGATTTGGTGTAAAAACAAATCATAATGCTTCTTGCTTCTCTCTCACATTCGCGCGATGAAAAAGATGCGACTTTTATAATTCTGTGCATGTTTTGAGCATGAGAAATATTTCGCAATTTTTACTGAGAATCGAGTTGCAACTTGAACACAAGTTCGTGACTTTGAATTTCCGTGACTGAGAAGACCAGACAGTTTTTATCGCCAAAGTCTTTTGTTGAAACTAATCCACACCAGTCGATCCCTTGATAAAGTTGTCCTTGTTTCTTTTAAGCTTATTTAATGGGGCATAGATCGAGTTCCATTCCTAAATGTCATGAAAATTTCCTGAAACATTCTCTTTGTTTGCACAATATTTAACACTGCCAGACTTTTCGATAACCTGTAATCAACTGATAAATACTTTTAACATTCCGTGTTACATTTTCTAGCAGTTACGTTGTCAGCTCTTTCTGGCATCGTAAGTTGACATTCCACAAAATATAACTTTTATTTCACAAAAACCAGTACAGGGCGATGGTTTCTTTCTCACTTGAAACACTGGACAAATTAAGACCACAAACGACCTATTTTAAGTAAGGTAGCTAAAAATACCGTGGATGAATCGAGCCGCTATAATTTGACATGTTTCTGTGATGGAACTGAGAACATAGATATTGCATCGGCAAGGCGTCGCTCGATGTAATCTCGACTCTTTCAGAGGGCGTGGCAGTTAATCACGTGATGAAAGTTATCTTCAGCGGTCTTTCGGTGATAAGGAATAACTTAGATAAAGTCGTAGATGTCACTGGCAACTGTTAAGTAAATTAAAGATGATCTTAAAAACCATAAGTTATCTGCATGAACGGACATTGTACCCTCTATACACCCATGATTTCGTGGAGTCTGAATAGCAACACTTGAGTTTTCGCTTTGACTTTGCAAATCCTTTCGGTAAACTAGAAAAATACGTATCTTAAAACATCGCTCTTCTTACCCTCTCATTTTCCAAAGTGTTTAGGAATGTCTTCTTAAAACGCTGCAACGTTTTACTCCAGACATGTTAGTTTTAGTTGAATCGGTTCGGAATCTTTATTACTTACTAAAACATCTGAAAACGTTTTAAGTAATGTGTCTTTTGTCGTGAAGCCTAAAATGAAGTAATCAAACAAACAGGAAAAGTAAAAATGTACTCAAGAACCTTTTATCAGACTAGGATTTAAAGAGATTTTTCTCCACCCTTACCCTATAACATTTCAAGAACACGCAAAAACCTAATGATGATTTTACATAAATTCGATCTTTTTTGTTTCTTCCACTTTTCTCTAACTAGTTCGGAGATATATATACTTTAATTTTTTCAGCATTTTCCAGTAATTCCTGCCTCGACAAAGCCTCTGCCTCCTGTAGTAAACATAACTCCAACTTGAAAATGTTTTCGTACAAGAACCGCGACGATATGTTTCGGGTTTTTTTTCCTTTTGTTTTTCCTTCGACCATTCCATAGTGCCTTGAGAAAGGATGCCATAGTTTCTTTATTGTATTGATGAGGTTTTCATAATTTTAGAGTACAAGATATAAAACGCCTTGTCTGCATTAAACGTCGAGAGTTTAATTAAGCCACACTCAGAACATTCTCTGTTGTAGTTGTAACCCGAAGTATTTCGATAGTGTGACTACTATCTGAGGCTTCTTTCACTGTCAAAATGATGCTAGGCTTGTCTCGTTAGGCTATCTGTATTCCATCTCCATTAGCCTTCGCTATTTGTCAGTAAAGACCTTGTAACGCTGATCTTTGAATGATTAATAAGCAAAATGAATTGTTTAAAAACATGAGGATCAGGACAGTTGTGTGCGCAACTTAAGTAGTTGTGAAAATATAGCTTGAATTTTTTCAGACGCAATGTTGATCTTTGCAACTTCCCAAGTCACGTACATACATAACTGCGATTATCTCTCATGTCTTCAAATCTTTCATCCGCAGTTCAAATTTGTGATGTTTCATTTACTCCCTTACTTGGAATGAATTGCATTATTGCAGAACAGAAGTGACTCTGGTCGCCCGAAAATAACCTACTAAAACATACTGTTTACGTTACTTCGCATACTTAAATCAAAAGGCAGAGGTGGACAATGATAGCCGTAAACGACAGAAGAACCGACACTTGAATAGCAACATTTTTCCGACTCTCCTCTGCCGATTGAAAGAAAACTTAATTTTTAGAGAAGAATCGAAATGAATTCACAGATGAACTAAATGGTACTCAAAATGAGAGAGAAACATATTGATCTCTAGGCAAATCAGTTAAAAATAATTGGAGGTAATATCAGAAAAATACGTAGCTAAAAACAGAGAAAATGAAGTAAAAGATGATCTTGTAGTCCGGATGATCTGCAAAGATAATATGCCAGAAACTGAAAACTTATATTTGACTACAGTTCTGCATTTCAACTAATATCAGAAACGAAACGCTTGTATTCGAAGAGGAAGAGTTTACTTAAGAAAACGTAGGGTAGAGAAAAACATTCTCTCGGCTTAAAAGACGATCCAAATTAGTACTTCTTTGACAGTAAGAGATTTTTCTAGATTCACAATCTGTCAACGAAACTTGGCGAAATAGCTAACATGAAAACCTTAAGATAGAACAATTGAATGTTATGTAAGAGGAACAGAAATGTGGTACATCCAATATTCCAAATGTAACCTTTTAACTACCATGTTTCGATTTCAAAGCACGCAATATATAAAAAAAAACATGGATTGAATTAAAAGAATGATCGTAAGAGTAAAAAGAAAATGCAGCTTATCGGGGAACAAAGATAACACAACAGTACATTGGCAATCTACATTTCAAACTTTGAACGATTCACATCACTGTACTTGTTTTACTAGTGTATATAGTCATTATCTTATAGCGAAGTGTAAATGATAAATTGTAGATGAAATGATTTAGGGGTTTATCAGTCAACGGCTTCCACAAAATCATGATACAATTACGACATGGATATCCCTCGACTGTGGATGTTCTTCTTCAGCTAACTATTTACGTTGTCTGAGTGAAAGGTAAACAAATTCAGATTTTGGACTTCCATTTGAAGTGTTCGACAATCTTTGCTATCGAACTGCTGTCCTCCCATGACTTCACGAATGGAATTTGTGTTTATTTCCAACCATGATAAAACATAAATCATGACCGAGAGGTACCGAAGAAATCTCCTTGTGAATTATCATCTTAGTATCCAAAACATAAAACGTCGTTTAACAGAAATTACAGTGAATAAACTAGGGGAAGTGTTAACAACTAAAACAGGTCGCGATTTCCAATACTCTCTCTCGTTGAGAAGTTTAAGCTCTCACACGCTCACGGTTAACGGAGAAGCAAAACATTATGCTAAGACAATGGTTCCAAAGCAGGAAACCCCATTTATTGAGTCTTTTTTCTTTCCACAAATGTAGCTAGTGTTTGGTTATTACTCTAGAGGAATAAAAGTAAAATTGCGAATTGTTTCTCTCATCTTTACCACACCTGTCTATTTCGAGTAGTGGCATTTTTCAACCTCATCATCTATTGTTTTGAGGTTATCGCTTGTCTGAAGATAATTTTGTGTACAGCAACATGAAATGATGTCTTGCACTTGATTTCTTGCACTTTACATTTCTCCGATATTTCAATGAAAAAACAACGGGAAATAACTTGCAACAACATCTATAGTTTAACGATCTTGTCTAAGGGTGATAATGTAAATCGGGTCCAACAATTACCTTCGATTTATCGAGGCGTCACCTGGAACAACCTCTTGACATCATGTCACATTTTAAAGTCTAGCAGCCTATGCTTGAGAGTCAAAGCCTTATGCCATGTCGTGCTTGTCTTTGCGCGCGAGTCGCGACAACCGCGCGCGTTTGTTGACACTATTCCGCACGTTGTTTATCATAGGTCGGCAACGCGTGCTGAGAACAATATGCAAATCTCGCGCAGCTGGAAGAGTTAAAATGGAGCTCAAATTGTTTTTCTCTCTAATTGCTACATCCCTCTACAGGTTTTCGTTTATCATGACAATTTGAAAGTATCATTAACAGCAGAACGAAATATTTACCTGCACTCTGCTTTCTGGAAGACTGATTTTCATGGCGACCTCCTCTCTCATGAAGATGTCAGGATATTTTGTTTTGGTGAAAAGCTCTTCAAGAATTTCAAGCTGAGCTTTAGTGAAAGTCGTTCGTTCTCGGCGCTGTTTTCGTGGATGAGCTGTGTTGGGAGAAAACAGAAAACACATCTTTAATTCAACTCCCTCATAAGTATTCAGGAAACCATAAACTAGAGAATAGTCTTCAGTGATATGCTATTAAATTCTTAGAACTAGTATATTTAAAACCAAATGTAAGCAAGTACTTAGGAGAATTTATGAAGTGATCTTTGGAGTGCATAAGAGTAGGATAGACTAAGCCTTTGAGAATTAACACCTGATCAGCGTCTTATCAATACAAAGTCAAGCAGTCATGTCATGAGAAGATAAAAAGTGATCGTGAAAGCATAATTGTTCTACCCAATGTGATAGGTAATCAACTTTTTCTGTCTTGTACAGCTCTACAAAAACTAATAATATTTTACGACAAGAGTACATTTTAAGCTGTTTGTTTTAACTGGACATGCTTACTTTAATTTACAGCTCTAAAATGCATCAAAAGTCAGAAAACAGAAAACTGGATTGAAAGAAGCTCTTAGGTATCGTTGTGTAATTTTCCAAGACAGTTAACACTGTAAACAACTGCTATACGCAAAACGAGTTAAGACCAAATATATCTAAGCAGCTAAACAACTGGTTATGCTTTGTAAAACGAGAAACAATTTGCCTTTAAATGGAGACTAACCGCTAGGGCAGTGTCTTTGAGGACCTAAGTGAGATAAAGTCATTTGTCATATAAGTTTGAAATTAGTTATACGTACACATTCTGTGTCATCATATATAAAGACTCCTTTTACACAGCGTGTTGTTGCCGAGCTGTTTTAGGTAGATGAGAAAAAAAAATAATGAAACCGTCCAGCTATGTTTTAATCATCTGTTTACAATGAGTTTGGACTGGAAATGACTCTACGGCCATGATACATCTTCGAGAGAAGACATATTTCCTTGGTATATGAACTTGCGATAGATTAGTATCCATGTAGAGCGGTAAAGATTCTTAGACGCTTAACCATATGGCTTAACCCAAAACCACAAGAAACGTTAAACTCATGGTAACATTGACGACCAGCTGGGATTTGCCTCGAACTTTGCCTCGCCTACCAATTATACCAAAACAGAAAATTTATCAAAAGAATTGGAGAAGACTGCACTGAATTCCTGGTTCAGTTGGAGAAATAGAATTATAAAACGATAGAATGACTTTTCAATTTCATATTTCCTTGGGATTGGTTCCTTGGCTGGACATTTTCAGGGTTATATACTTCAGTGTAATCCTTATTCCCTGCTTCAACTTTATGTTATTTTTCACGTCTGAAATAACGCCATGAATAATTCAATACAAACAGACTGTATTGTGTTTGAGAACTTGTTACCTACTGAGATTTTGTGTTACACTCCCCGTGTTACACTTCACGCATCACGCGATTATACGCCCTATTTCAAACATGCGTAGTAATACATACTTGTTGACTTTCACTGGTAGGCTTGGTTTCTACCGCGCATGCTTGAGCCGCTGGTTAAGTAGAACGAAGTATCTACACGAAGCCAGGCATTATTTACAAACATCTTTCACCCTGGCCAAGGAACACAGGCTAATTGATTATAAAAGTCACCAATTCTGTACCTCTAGGCGTAATTTATTCTACACGCAGTGATCTATAATTTTGTCGATCTGGTTCTTCGTATCAAGTGGACAATCACACACAAAAAAGTTGACGGACTGTTTGGCAATATTCCATCTTCTGTGAGTGTCTGAGAAAATTGCGTCAAAACACACCGTTTGTTAACTCTTCGCCCGCAGGTTTTGCATTTTATTCAAGAAGCGTTCATGGAGCAATAATAATGTTTACGAAAACTAGGGTAGGCTGAAAAGACTTCATGCTAAGTTAAAAAACAGAGAATGTTTTGATAACCACAGAAAAGAGGAAATGATATGATCTTAGTCAATGGTGAAGGGGGGTTTGATAAACTCCGCTAACAATCATAACACGTAATGAACTTGTCTGAAGTCAATTGAGTCACGATAACTTGGGTATATTTACAGTGTGACTTACTGAATTACCAGAAACGAAATCTTTTTCAGTCTGTAAAGCGAGAAATAGAAACTGTCTTTATCTAAGTTAACTCTTGAAATGCTTAGTTTAGCTGAAAACAATCCAGTCGAGTATCACTTTGAAGTAAAATAACGTATCTGAAACATCTTACAGTATGTCACAATAACTTGCAATTGAGATTTGTAAGTCCCCTTTATTTCTGAATTTACTTTGTAATTCCGAGGTGAAAGTGTAAGACTTGTTTTGAAATTTCAGCCCTTCAAATGTAGCTCTAACTTCCGTCAGCTTTATTCAGTAATGCATAACTATTTCTTTAATCTTTGCGTGCATGCTCGTTAAATTCGTGTAACTGTTAGTTCATAAGCTCTTCAAGGAAATAAGGAAATATCATAACAACATATGCCTAATTCCTGCGTAAATGTCGCCAGGTAGACAAGAGCACCAAACAAAACGAAATATCATTGGCGTGGAGGAGTAGAGGAAGTGTCTCTCGTTGCCTTAAAGAGATTAAAACGAAAAAATGTTCTCCTGTAATAAAACAAACCCAAAGTATGCTTTTGAGACCCGTAAACAATGTTAGCAGCAGCCAAATACGTTGACCTCGCCCCTCTTGCCATTCATTCCTTCCGTAAACTCCAACGCCAGATATGTGGTTATTACCCACAACGTCTGATACTTAGCCAAGCAGGACTATATCGCCGAGCTTCCGGACCCTAACGTCCGTTTCCTAGCAGTTTAAACTTTCACAACACTGAAAAATGTATGGATTAGTTAATTCCATACCGAATTTTGTTTAGCACTGAGTTGCTCACATTGCCTTCACCCAAACGAACAGAGACTGTTCTTTGCAACTTTTAAATTTTGAGGAGAGATTTTGGAAATGTAGTTTATAAGCGGCTTCGGAGGCCAAATACTGTCTGTATTCGTTATTATTCCAAGCCAACATTACGGACATAGTTGGACAATGCTACTGAACAAGCAACAAATGTCTTTAATTCTTTTATATAACATACGCTACAGACTACACATCTCCTTGCTGCTAAGAGCGACAGCTGGACCCAAAATACTTACACTTAAACATAAATTGTTAGACGAATTCACGAGGGGCCCAAATTTAGGCATTGTACAGATTTTAGACAATATCACATACGTCCACATGTAACAGTGAGAAATATTTCCACTGGATTAGAACGATCGATCTCTTAGTTGATGTTATTGCCATTAAAGAGTTTAATGGATTAAGGAATTTCTTCATTTTCATACACCGTTAAGTTAGGTTTCTGTTCTAGATTTCTATCCACTGACCGACTTTCACAATTTCGATTGAATTTGTCCAAATCATCAGCAGCTTTCATTTCATAATTTTTACACTGCAGAAGGTAACTTAACAGATTCAAAAGTTACAAGCACATTTAACAAACAACAAACAAAAACAGAACAAACACGAGAACATAGTTGACGACAGCCTTCACCGCATAGTCGTAACTTAGATTTCTTTTTTCGTGGCAAACCAACCAGCCACTACACACAGAGAGCAAAGAAAAACATGCAGAAGACAGAACCACGAGAATTCTCTACGAGCAATTAGATTGAATCGTCATACTTCAGGTTTTTGTCCAAGCAGCATCTACAAGTTTTTGTCCAAATTGTTTTCCCTGTAACTCTCTTGCACCTACATGTACAATACTATTTGAGATGAAAATTATTGCTGCTGTTAAACGTTTTCTGAGACCTTGTACTGCATGGACACCATCCCAGGCTACCAACCCAACAACATCTTGCTCCCATGCAGGGAGAAGTTACGTCCACCATATTGCCACCGCATGGGCGTCTGAACATTTGAAAAGTAAACACATTCGATTTTATGACATGTGAGAGCTTTCACAGAAATAGAGAGGCATCAGAAGTGCATTGCATATGCTGTAACGACTTGTAAAGAAAAAAAAATGTGAGATTTTGTTTGCCCGCATACGATCTCTGAAGTAACCACAAGACTCTAATTAAAGACGGATGTCGCGCCATAACTGGAATGAAGTGTTTTGACAAGGTAATCATTAGAACATAAAGTTTATTCTCGTGTTTAACCGAATAGTTGTTAGAATCGTTATTAAAATGGCTCATTAACGATCCACACATGACCTAAAATGCTGAAGGAAACTACACTTGGCAGTATGATTGAACGAAGGGCAAGAAACTTCGACAGTGTGGTGTCAAAACATCAAAAGTGGATCCTGACGCATGTGGACGTTTGTTTTATCAACAGACCAGACATAATTGCACCCAACGTCATAAATTAGTGGAGCCTTCTTCGACAAATTAGACAAGTGTGTAGACAAAACTAAAACTATTACCGCGTAACTCCTTCTGGTTCAATTCTGTCATCTAGTGTCGTCCATTGCAATTTTATTCACATTACCGCAAACGGAATGATGATTTATTAAGCCTCTAACGATGTGTAATTATATAGCAAACAAGAACTGTTTAAACAATGCTTTTATGTGAAAATCCGTACATGTAAATCGTTGTTTCTATTAGCAAATTGAATTGCTTTTCTTAGGTTACCAAAAGGTTAAAAAGCCTTCAAAATAAGCATGCTACAACGTGCCCCAACGAATGTCGCTGCGCTATTCCCAAGGTTGCGGATTACCTCGAAAACCGCAACCCAGCCCGTCGGACTTCTACAATTTTTGCATGGTCGGTAAATAAGTTTACGTGAATAAGGAATCAAAAAGATCTCAGGGCGCATCTTTTCATGAAATTTGCGCCTCATCTGCAAGGACGTTTTCGATCCCATGACCTTCACGCTTCGGGAACTGGGAATTCTTAATTTGCAAAGCTAAGTTTTCTTACTAACTCTGAATTATTTCAGCAGTTTCAGTGAGCCTAGAAAGATGGAATGTAATATGTCCACTAATATACCGTCCTAGGCGTAGCAAAGTTGCCCGAAGCAACAGTAGACGGCTGTAACTGAAGCAACGGCAACCTCATCATGCCCTCCATTTACCAAACTATAAAGCTCGTAATTGGCTTTAATGTCTACTACAAAACAACTTACCGCATGGTGGAGGTGCCATTTGGCTGAAGAAATCGATATTTGGAGCAGGATGACTCAATCCATGGCCACCTACTGAATAAGGAGGCACATGTCCTCCGACATGACCAAAATAGCCCGCCATTTTGTCGCAGTCAACCGAGTCCGCTGAGAAGAGAGAGAAACAGACAGCGCTTGTGATTATAAAATTACTCCCATTCAGTCTCTGGTCTATAACACTGATACCACCAACAGAGAGACGAGCTGTCAGTTTTCAGCGTACAAAGGAATGCATTCAATTACGTTTTCCCTGTTTCTATTCAAAGTATATATAGCCTTGAATTACTGTGAGTCAAATAATCAACACGCCCATGTGATACCAGGGTCCGATAGCATCAAAATAAATTTAGCTCTGGTTCCGTTCTTGTAAGTGATCACTCAGGTATGGATGATTCGATTAATGTGATTTTTTTGTGTTCGCTGGGACAATACTTTTCTTTGTAAAGATGTGTTGTATTCGCAAGTTATTGTTTTGGCTATGTGTGTGGTAAAGGTGTATTTCTATCTGTTGTAAATCGGCGTCGACGTTTATGAGCAATGATTTAACATACATGTTTCTTATCATGTGGGCAGGTGACAGTGATTTATGTGCTAAAAGCAAATATCTGGTTTTCTCTATCTCTGCATTCTGGGGTGTTTAAGTGGCGCCAAAGTCACATGGTGATAAAAGATACGCTTTAAACCCAAGGTGTCAACGCAATTTCTCATTTCAAAGTTGTTTTGTTCCCTAAAGTTAACCTCCAATTGCCTGATCCAAATGATTATAGGACTTCTACGGTGACAGACATGAAATAATGGCCTGCGAGGCGCCGAGACAACCAGTGTAATGTATATCACCAGAGTCGTGTTTTCAATCAACTAATTGGGGGGGCGGGTTTCATTTCATTTAGAGCAATAAGCGAATTATGATTGTCATCAAGCCTAGCTGTCATGCCTAGTTTGTGGTTTAAAATATTCCACATTTGTACCACATTTCCTCTAAAATAGCTTTTTGTGTTTCTTCAAAGAAACGTACAAGCTTTAGATCCAGATCTAATTAGTATTTTTCTGCGGCTTATCACATCCTTCGTGACGTTCCAAGCAAGTATTGCGTAATGGACGTGTTGGGGCTTTCTTTGCGGTCAGAGAAAATCGGACGTGAATGCTTTCATTCTCTGTGTTTTGAAAGAAATGACACAACCATTACGGCCCAACCATTACCTATTGTCAAGTGTCATTCGTCCACCTCAGGGCCGAAGCGTCGTAGACTTAAATCAGTGAATTTAAGAACCGTACGTAGGTGACTTATTCAAGCCAGACATTGCTACAAGACGATGGAGTTCTATCATATTTGCGATGTTTTTGTAAGATTTTTTTAGAGCTAGAAAAGAGTAAGGATTGTTACATTGACCGTCAGTGATGTATTTTCCCAAGTTAATCTTGATTCGCGGTTTTTCATACGTGGTTGTTTTTGCATTTACTTTGAAGGATTAGTACGCTACTCTGATTACTATTATATTTCTTCTGAATGTCTACATGTGTATTCATACCAAAATCTTCTATCCAGAGGATAATGTTAATGAACTCCATTAAAATAAAACGTTATCTCAATACGTCAATTTCCGCTATGTAGGGATTTTCGATTTTGTAAGTTTTCCGAAAGGTTTCCATTGTTCTGATCAATTGTAAAGTTTTCTCCATCCCTTTAGTTTACCTCTTCAATGATATCACGACTTTGTTATCTAATTCCGGTACTGTCTAAATGGTTTCTGAGGGAATAAGACGAATCTACCCGGCTCTGAGCGAAAATTCGCCAGGGAACATTGATAGCCTGATCTTTTCACTGTGATTTAACAATCGGGTGCACAGAACAGAAGCTATTGCAAGGAATTCTTGATTGAAATGTTTCGTTACTTACCTGTGCTGATCGACTTAGCTGTAAAACTGTTTAAACGAGAAATCTGAAACAGATTTGCTCAGATAAGAATGTCTCACTTTCAAGGTACGCTGTAGATGGGCCCTGGTTGTAAACGTTCCAAAGCATTCTAACGCAACACGATATTTCACGTCTCTTAACCCTTTTAAAGTCGTGTCCTTACTTCAAAAGCACGCAAACTGCTTCCTGATACGCAATTACCTTACTGGTATTTTCTTGTTTAATTTTTCACTAGTAATATTGCACCTTTAACGAAACCCATCCAGAGAAAAGAAATAATAAAAGACAAGACTTGCTTTCCTGCACGATACAATTCACAAATGCTGTTGACTCCCATTTGAAAAGACCCAATGATGAAGTTGCCTAATCAGCAATTCATGGGCAGTAAAGATTCAGTAAAAAGCTTGTTTCTCGTCCATTTCATGATGGAATGGAATAAGGGCGGCAACTAAAACACTTTGAACATCCAAACAACACAGTATAGTATTGTGAGCCAATATCAGCGCACCTAACCCATGTTTACGACATCATATGATTCAAGCTAAATATCAAAAAGGTGCCAGCTATACTGCGACATGACTATGAATTCGAAAACAAAGTTGTTTTTCCTCGCAAGTCTAAGTTAAGTATGGTATATATTCTGACTATAAAATTGCTTTCCGTGATAAATTAGTCATGTTAACTGTTTGCACCCATTTGGCTTCAGTGGAACATTGAGCTTTCACATCAATTCAATGGCCTATCACTATTTTGATCAAAAATACATATGCCCTATTGTATTCATATTTGAACCCCAAATGGAACCTTTTCGGAATAAAAGCTGATATGTAATTCATTCCTACTTTGCTAGAGGTTCACACGGCTCACATTCAGGCCATTTTCGAATTACAATCAGTCTGGTTCAGTGGAACTGTAGGGAATTGGCAAAGATAGATAGACGAGTTACAGCAAATGAGGTACATTAGGTAATTAACTAATGCTGAAATCGCGGATTCGTTGCTTTTGTTTAGTCCAAAAAGCGATCGTCTTCAAAAAGAAAAAACGATATTTATAAAGCTTGAATTGGGTAGCCATGCCTCAAAACGCTTAAAAGATGCTTCTTTACTGATTCATTACGTTTCGTTGAAAACTGCAGGATATTTTGACCAATTCCGACGGTGCATAATACATGAATACTCAATTTCTGTTCAAATACGAGAAAAACTATCCCAAGGGGAAAACATGAGAAGAAAGCAGCTACTCTACTTACTCAATTTTCTCATGATGTCTTTTACCTTTAAAAGTATGTGAATGCTTTGTTTCAAAAGCAGATCTTATAAAGATAAGGCATGTTTGTTCACTTGCGTGGTGTGCTTAACAAAGCATGCCTGTAAAGGTCACCAGAACCGTCGTATCTGGTTGAAAAGACAAAATTAGCTCCCTTTATGTCTGCGGTTTATAGGCTATCGATTTTAGTTATAAAGGGAAATGTGGGGAGGACTTATTTTAACTTTCCACAAAACCATAAATAACTCGACCCTGCAATGTGTTTAAACTTCAGACGCATGCATAGCGTGCTAGCAGAGATGAAAGCAATTTTATTTGACAAGCTGAATTACAACCTTGAAATACAAGTTAACGTTTAATTAAGTTTGGGAAAAAAAAAAAAAGCCGCACACAGCTTTGGTTAAATGTTTTTTTTTTTTTCCATTTATCACCTGTTGAATGAAACATTTACAGCTCCCTAAATAGATTTCAGTCAAGAAATTCATCAAAGGCATGTTTCAAGCTAAGCAGTCCTTGGGGTCTCCATAGCATTGCCAAATGACTGTGTCGTTTTATTTCTAATTTGTGGATTCGGATAAATCATGTTAACCAACTATGGTATTTTTAAAGCAATTTAAATTGTTCTAAAAGACAATTGGTCAGCTCAGTGAGTCTCTATGTCCTAAGAGCTGGGCGTCACCGAAACCACATTCTCTCTTCTGCAGCCGTTTAACTTCTTCGTCAAGGAAGTCTTACAAGCTACTTCAACTGATTTAATCCTTTTTATGTGGTTTCCTGAAGCTACATTAACGTAAATGTGGTTATTGCTTTATATCGAATACGAAGTCACGAAGTCTTGATATCTCAATCTCCAAACATCCACATTTACGAAAAAGTTGATAAGACACCAAGCTTCTTAAACTAATGACCTCGATGCGTGAGAGAGTTTTTCTTACCTATGATTTGCTCGGTAGCTTCATGTTCACGAGCATTAGAGCAGTCTCATTAGTCTAGTAAATCATCGGAGATCCATCTATTTCACAGTATAATTTGATCAAAAATCAGCCAACCTTGAGCTGGTTTGCCAAAATTACATTCGAATGGGTGGGATTGTGAAAATTCACGCAAATACAGCTCCTGCTGGAATTCTTTTTCTTCTCGTTTCCTTTAATAGGAAAACAGAGGACATACAAACTCACAATATCTAAAAATTAAACCAAGGGAAAATATGCTCATCTTTGAACTTATATTTGCAAGAACACGCTTTTATGGAATTGGAACGTTTACAGTCAGTTTTCTTGAATTCATTGTTTCGCAGTTTGACGAGGTGACTGCATGTGGAAATATCATGCCAATGACTTTACGCCGAAGCCAAGTATCGGCTAAAATCAGGGTATTTAATTCTCGGCTTTATTTACCTCCTAATCGTTGCCAAGAAGAATTTATTTTACAGACAAGATTCTCATTCGCCACTGAAAAACGAAGAAGCTCCTGAAACAGCATTCAATTACCTTCCTTTCTATTATGTTGAAAGCCAAAGGCTTTATCGCACTCGATTAATGACCAGTTCAGTTCTTAAAACTCAACGCATGATATCACTAATGTCTCAAAGATCAACAGGCAGCCGAAAACGAGCTTAGATTTCCCAAAATGTCTTTGAAATAGCACTTAGAGGATCTACATTTTAAGCTGTAAGATTCAGCTTTTTTGTCACGACAGAACTGTACTCCAAGTTGTGTATCCGCATGACGAAGTTCCACTGTAGTTTGATTACCCGATTTCCTATACATTCAGTAAAAAGCTGTACTCGATCACAAATTGGCCTTATACACATCGGCTCACAATAATTCAAGAAGGAAGTAATAACCAAAACCGTCACAAAGTTATATTTGGTGCACATTTTCCAAGGGAATTGTCATAGGTCATTTTGGCATACCTTCAGAGGCCCTTCAGTCTACCGAAGGACTGCGACAGTATCGTAGCGAAATTCTCTACAATACACTTTTTGGGCCTGAATCTTATTTCGAGATACGAAACAGTTCAAAAACCCTCACATACCTGTTCTAAAGGAAAAAATAATACAGGCCAGTAAGTTCCGTGTCAGGCTAAAATTTGTCCAAAGGGCTCTTATGTTTGATCCAGGTGATACTGTGCAGCCGAACAACAAGTAGATATGTTGTCAGTGCAGTGAAAGACAATTTACCGTCTGATTGTATCTGCCTTAAACCGCCGGTAGGAAACGACTCAGGAAAAGTAACAGAAGCTTCTGTTAGTTCTTACATGATGGAATGTGATAGCGTTTTTCCACACAGACAATGTTGAGATTTTCTAGTGGCTGTGTCTGAAACGACAAGTTGAACGAAGACATTTGCCATCTGAAGTTCTGGAAGGGTGCCTCAGTGAGAGGATGAATAAAATCAGTCAGTCTCTGACCTAGTCATTCTGCCTAGCAAAGTACACAAGGAACCAAATTTTGTATTTGGATTCTAGAGATTTTAATAGAGCTTCACACGAAAATAGAAACAAATGATAAGATAGCATAGGAAGTAGAATTGATTTTTGCACTAATTATCTGAAACTCTCAAGGTGCTTGTTCTCTGAAATGCCAACAAAGAAAAATACTCGGCACACACATGACACAAATACCACAAAAAATCAATCTGAAGGGGCAACGGAAAGAGTGGTTTGGACTCCTGCCCGTGTGTTGTTTCAAGGAAAACACGCATGGCCTGAATTGCGTTGTCCCGGTGTACCACAGATGAACACAACAACATCCTCCCCAAGAGAGCGTTCCATCACTATCTACACCGCGTCACCAAAACAACGTCGTGCTTTGGAACCGGTCGTTCGACCGTTGATATTCGTCAGCTGCGTCCAATTCTGTGGCTAGGACGTTTTCTGTTCGTTTTAGGTGAGGAAAAGGACGGAGGTTGCTATGAAAGTGCGTCATGTTTTGAAAATGTGGCTCGGTTGAGACAGCAGCATGGAAGTTTCCGGCTTCCTGTCCTCCTGGAAGTCGATTCAAAAGAATAGAGTGATCCAGTAGTCGAGTCGACGGGAGAGGAGAGAAAAAAAATATTTCCACATTCTTCCTTGGGTGTCTAATCACGAAATCGTCTGAGCAATGCCTAGAAGACTCGCTCAACCTCTTCAACCAAGCAGAAACTTTAATGATCGAAAGCCTGTGTTGCCGGATGGAACGACTCTGAAGAACTCGCCGGGGACGAATTTGTGTTGTTGTAGTATGTGGGCGATGTGACCACGAGTTTTTTGTCGGGTGAATCGTATATCTACTGAACCCGTTGTAGATCCTATTATCGGTTTCAAAGCATTAAAGTGTTGGATTTTGTTCTCAAAAGCGTTGCTTTGAATGCAATCCAGTGAAGCTTATCAAAATATCGATTCAGTAGAGCGATTGATTTGACAAGTTAACAGCAGCACGACTCGCTAGTCAACCCAAGAGCGTTATTTTTCTGGAGAATACGAAAATGACTTGGCGCAGTTGGAGTTAGTTTGGAGTTGTGGACTCGATTATTGTGTACTGTTCTTGTACAAACACGAGCCCTGCTAAATTTGAAGCCTTCTAAATACTGGATTTAGCCCTGACATTTACTATCAATTAATTGAATAGCAGTTAAGTCTCGGTAAATAAGCAATTATCCGCACAGACTCGGTGCTGCCAGTTTGACACATACTCGCATGTTGCGAACTCAACATCGCACTTCCAACTGTAAATTTCTATCTCAATTTTTACCCCGAGTCTAATATCAATGTATATGTGCTCTTGAGCAATAATTAAAAAGCTCCTTATAAGTAATATTAGAAGCAATATATGCTATCTCAACACCGTTTAAACGACGAACCAGTGCTCCTAGCCAAGCTAAACAACAATCTTAATAACATTGCGTTAGAGTCGTCCGTAGCATAAATTTATCATAATTATTCATTGTTGTTGGTTAAGACACGCGATTCATTTTCTCGCCAGAACTTTTAATTCCTATTTACCTGAAAGAACGTTTAAAAAACTATTCAAGCGTGTTGAACCATACCTTATCGTCCTAGAATGACTGAGTTGAATTTCGTCTCGACGAACCCGCACCAGCAAAGCCTTTAACAACGGAATTCTCTCACAACCAGCAAAACCTATTTGCCCGAGATGCCACCGCGAGCTGAAAAAATTCAATAATAGAAAACGCTGTCAAAATTCAAAGTGAGTCCGTGGCGTTTGAAACGCAACTCGTGGTAAGTTTACCGCGGTCAGCAAATCCTGTTTGATGACTTAGCCGGTTGCGTGCAGTAAAGTGTCAATTGACTGACAAGTCAAAGAGGCCTGAAACACGCTTTTACCTTATATGTAAAGTAAGCACAGTAGGGTCATTTTACTGTGGCGCGCGAGAAAGAGAGTATTGCCTTTCGGCTCACGCCTCCAAGATACTGAGAGCTTTGTGGACCGTCATTATAGGGAACAATGGAAAACTTCAAATGCAATTGTTCAAGGTGCGAGGCACAACTCTCAACAGCTGCCCTGTGCGCTCGCTCGCTTAATTGAGTTAATTTCGATTCCGCGTAGTTCATTTTGAATATATGGGCAGTGGAAAATATTCATTGCTCGCCTTTTGTTCCTAAATGTCGGCTCGGCCTCATTTCGGCCGTCTGTGAAGCGACAAGAAAAGAACAAATTAGATCACTGATTAGTTTATTGCATAATTTGCATCAGAAAGCATTTCGCTTCTTCTGACTCGCTCTAATATCTCTCGTATCCTTTTCCGGTTAATGCGGCCCTTTTTCAGTGACGTATTTTGACTGTTCTTTGCGAGTCCGCGGTATGTCATCGAGTTAAAAACTTTGAACATTTTACCACCAAACCTACAGTGTTTTCCCGTCTGTTTTCATGGTGAGAAACTCGTGATAATCTTCAATACAGTTCTTGCGTTACGCCTGCGTCACACGGCCAAACTGAAAGAAGTCGACACGGTTAATTCACTTGGGCCCAATGTAAATTTCCCCAATACACACGGTTTCCAACAAAGCGAACCGCCAAGATTGCTGCAAGGATATTAACAATTATTACTGAAACAATATCCTTTCAATCTAAATACTGTACACGGTTGTTGAGTACTTAGAGGCAAAATTAAGCGATCGCTTTTATTTTTTCATGCCACTAATTAAATTAAAACTTTAATAAAATTGTTTCTATTGACACCAAGAAGATATAATTGCGGATTTGATTACCTCAATAAAAGCGAAATTATGGCGGCAAATGAGTTTTCCGTAACAATAAAAAGCTTGCCGAAGGTATCTGAATGTTTTGCCATCTGTACAAGTGCCTCGATTATGAGTTTTGCTCGGAAATTGAGGGTTCTTTTACTTTCTCCATGAAAAATTAACTTCTTAGTTAAATTGCCTTTTTTTCATTTAACAGAAAGATCAAACTGAATTATTTCTAATCCCTTTGAACAAGGCTTGAGGCCTAAAGAAACCTGCACTTTGCTGGTATAATGGTTTAACTAAACATTTTCAAAGGAAAACAGACATTTCCCGGCCGGAGGAATGACTCATTGGGCGTCATTTTAAACAATTCAAGTTTCGCCGTGTTGATTTGCGGCTCTTTCAAACGCATCAGTCAATGTTCCCCTTGTTTAAACCGATCACTGTTTTCACACGGGAGATAAAAACGGATCACTTAATTACTTTAACTCATTTTTAAACTTCTTTGCGCGAGCGATTTCCCTAAATTTCAGGCGCTGTTGAAGCTACCTTTTTCCAGCGAGTGTCCATGCCCCTTCGTTTTATTTTACCTCGATCATGACTCTAAATTTCCCTTCAGATATCTTACGGAGAGGCAAAGCCATAACTTCGTGAAAAGTTAGAGCGCTCTCCGCTTTGTGGGCACCCACAGACATTGTTTTTATAACAAAATATAACGTTTACCGAGTTAAACTCTTGCGAATTCTTACGTACTTCTCAGCTGAAAATCCGATTTCCTTTAAATTTGCTATCAATATAGAGTACACGCTATTTTGACGGTATAAGCAAAATATTTCATCGCTTTTAGTTTTCGAAAAACTCCACAGCTTATTGCTTTAGAAATTTGTTTACTTGATATATTTCCTTGACCGTTAAAAAAGAAAATAAAATTAAATAGCACACAGTGATCTTCATTTCTACCAACGTTTTACTAAAAGGGTTATTTCTCATTAAATAGCGAGAGTCCTCCACAGCGACTTCGTTGTTTTTAAAAAGTCATCTCTTCTTAAAAGCAAAAGCAAAATAATTTATAATCCCACCAAGCAATCCTCTTTTCTGTTTATCTTAAAAGCGTTGCCATTTAGCGGTTCGAATTTATGGTGCAGGATTTTTTTTTTCTGAAAAAGAACAAATGTGTATTCCGTTTAAAAAACAACCTAACGGTGTAGTTTGTTGGAATGTTCAACTCAAAGTTTGCACAACTGCCGTTTAAATGTTTACCTAAAGGCAACAAAACAACACGAATCCACTTCTGTAATCCTGCCGAGTGAGCATTGATATCTAAGCGCTTTACTGCGTCTTAGACACTTCGTAAAATAAACACACCCTTGCTTGATGCAGACCCTACTTAAATTCTAGTCTAACCGCTTCGTTGAAAGTAATTTCCGTCTTCTTTCGCGCGAGTAAGAAGACACGATATTAAATTCGCTTGTTCGAAGGTTTGGATCTCAAACAGCATGTTGAAGAATGCCATGGCCGTTGTGATTCGTTGGTGTGTGGAATCGGAGGTATTGTTTTCACAGGTGTATTCTATTTGATGCTTACAGGCTTGGTAATGAGATTATACGCCCTCGAGCCGACAATTATAAAGCACAGTTTAGGCAGGAGCACGCGAAGGATAAACCCTGTATATTCCTGCCTTGAATGGCCCGACCAATATGTATACCGTCTCATAAGGTCACGCCAAATTGACAGAAATTTAATTAAAAAGTTTCATCCCTCCATAAGAGACACAAGTGAGCTGAAAATGCATGTTTTATACCAATTCTGGCCAGTTTTCTTTGTATAAATTGTAATTATTCTTCAAATAAGAGACTAGAAGGTAGTGAAAGACAAAATATTTAATAATTAAGGCCAAACCATGCAAACACTGGGTTCGCGGGACATTTTTTAACCCAGTACGGTATAATTAGTGAGTCATGCTGCAAAATCGGTTGCAGCTTTGTACACAACAACTGCAGCGAGTAAACAACAGGGTTTTAAAGTTCTCTGGGCCGATATGATATTTATATTTTCAACTGGTCCGTCTGCAGGTCAATATATATACGAAGTCAAAGTAGCAATGATTGAAAGTTCATTGAAGGAAACAAGCCGAGATCATACAGATACATTTATTGCATGGCCTTGAATTATACGCCAGGAATTGAGAAACTGTCGCTGAAACTTGGACAAAACACGTATCTAAGGGAATGGTGACTGATTTCGACGAATATCTCTTTTGTGTCTGACCTAACTGAGAAGGAATAGAGACAAACTGAATTTATTCTCTCCGCCGTAACTTATTCAAAGCAATTTAATTTATTTTTCGATGTTATGGCGGTTTTATCTTGCAATTCAAAGCCGCCCCGTTTGCCGCGTTACAAACCTTGGTCTGCATGATGAAAAATTCATTATCTCAGGCTTGCGGCAAGCTTTTCCAAATTGGCCAAAGCATCTGAAGAATCGGCCTAATTTTCATTTCAAAGAATATTTCAAAGTTCCGACAAGGTTCACTGGTCCACTCATCCAAAGACTAATTGTCGGTGAGCTTTGACAATCGCCATCCTCGGTATATTTTCGCAAGCCTCGACCTACTTTCAAAAACTTTTACTAAACAGTTATCTTTGGCGAACGTTCTCTACTAAGGTCTCTATATTTTCTTGCTGTTTTTCGCTTGCCAACGTAGAATGGGACTGTGCGTCAATCTGCGCGCGAAATATAAAACGAAACGTTAAACAAACAAGATATACGCCTTTTCTAAGAATATTCCGAGATGCAATCGAAGCGCGGAGAAATTTTCGAGGTTAAACAAGTAGGCTCTTGTCTCTGCCTTTATAATGCAAATTTACAGTCAGCGTTTGGACAAGACTCCCTGTACAGAAACGTCAGGTTTTTAGTACAAAGGCGATCTTTAACTAAACAGGGCATTATTCAAATAATTTTTAAATTTAATTAATCGATTCAAGGAGGTAAATTTTCTTCCTTTTTTTTCTTTTTCTTTTCGCGTTTTTTTAAGTGAAAACAACGATGCATTTTGCTTCACAAGAAGATGTACAACAGGGGTTCATAGTTTATTCAAATGTCTTGCCTTTGACTTCTATGCTGTGTGTGAAGTAAACATTTTGGAAGAGATTTAAACACATTCGTGGTTATTTAAAATATCGTTTACAAGGCTGAGATAGCGAAATGTTTGCCTTAGAGTATTCCTTCGCTTTTTTGTGAAACGTGTTACTTCTAGGAAATACCAAAAGCTACCATTTTTATCATATACATCAAAAGGAATATATTTTATTCTTCCTTTTCGTCTAAAACCCCCTTTGCCCCATGGATCAGCAGTTTCATTCAATAATCCATAATCCAAGAGAAGGATTGAATAAAACTCTCTTCACTGACTCTGCAAAATCATCTTTCCGAATAATATCGAAGTTTTATGTTGTTTTTTCATCTAAAAGAAAAATCGTTGTTTTTGGCACGTACTCGATTCACAAAGGATGATAACGTTTTACACATTTGTTTTCCTTCTTTTCCTCTATAAACTCACTTTACACTGACAAATTACCCGAAACAAAAGATTACTATAGAATGATGAGTTATTCCTGTCGTCTTTTTTGTCAAAAGCAGCATGGCCCGAAACCATTAGCCGTCCTCTGTTTAATAATCTTACGACTTTATGGCCGAACAGATTGTCTTTGAAGCTCCGTGCGGCCTCCAGGGCTAATTTATGACAAATATTTCACGGCTTTCCGATAAGGAAGTGCTAAAAAACTCGTCGCATAAATTTACAAAACGAGCCGTTTAGTCAGTTGTTGACTGATAAATTGAAGTCAAAACACTTAATTATCAGAAGAAGTTTAAAACTCGCTCAGTTGAATTCAAAGGCCAAAGAGATTCGGAGAAGCAAGGTACTCAATTTTTGTATTCAACATTAAGTTAACAAAGCGTTATTTGTATTTTATTCATACCATACATGGGATGGGACGCGTCTCTTGACGCGATATATTTTCATGGCATTATATAAAGCCCACAGGCAATGCGAAATTCGAATCTACCAGGCTTAGACGTATTTCACTGAAATCAAGATTTAAAGCAAGTCAGTCACCTAGTCGATTGTGATTAAATTCGCTAGTTAGATCATAGCTTTGTAAATCTAAATAAAGTTAAGTCTCGAGAACTCTTCAGAGACGACGCTTTAGTAAGAAAAAAAAAATGACTGATTCCCAACTACGAGGGTCTAAATGCTGATTAATTTTGTTGATTTATGTTTAGTTCGTTTCCTCGGATAGCAGGTAATAACTGATGCTTGGTGAAACCGTTGAATGACTCCGGTTATAATATTTAGTGAAAGTTATAAATCACTTAACCATTGAAACAATACGGAATTTTCTTCCTGTCTAGAGTCGATAACACGTGTGGTCATTGAAAAGCGATTGAATTTTGACATTGGGTTTTTTTCAGTCGTTGAGCGGATAACCGTCTCTTTCTTTAGAGAATGTCAACTTCTTAACAGAGTGGATAACGGTTGCATTGAATCCAAAGGTGTTCTGCTGATTATTTGCTTATAATCATGATATACCATGTTGTCTAAGAATAAAACACTGGAAAAACTTCTCAAACGTTTTCGTCGGTAGTTGGGGATAGAAACCTGAGAACCCGCACCAAGTCAGGTGCGGCAATGGAAAACTGTACAAGCTTTGCCAGTCTCGCAAATAGAAAATCTTTCCGCACCAACTTTAATTCCATCACCAGTCGACTACATAGACTCTAAAGCCAGCTCTTGTAATTTAAATGTACAAATTACCAAACTGCAAATACATTGAACAAGTATACTCGTATTCAAAGTTGATATTCTCGTCTGCACGTGTTACTTAGAGGTCCTGTTCTTCGCTCAGAAACGAGCACTTGTCGTACTCTGGGCACGTTTTTCTCTTTCATTTTTCTAATGAGCACTCTGTGTAGGTTTATAAAATAGATTTTTGCGTGCCCCGCGTGTGCATTAAATGTGTTTGAAGTGTGCGGTCGAGATTTCCCACAATTAAAACATGTGCACGAAGGATAGAAGGTTCATCGAACGAGAGACCACTTTCTCCTCAATCAATGGTCTTCCAGTCTATCTTGTGGAAAAATCTCAAGTGAGTATCTAAAAGACTTTGAAATCTTTTACCATTTCAGCTTAACCCACGTGTCAGTTATAGCAACAAAGAGATGCTCGACCTCCTAATACTATTTTGTTTGCCTGCATGGAATCAAGCTCTTGGATTCGAGAGCGTACAATACCAGACGGACCACAGTCTGTAGTGATTAAATTCTGGAATGCTTGAAACACGCAAACTTACTCTCCTGAAATAGATAGTTTACTCACGAAACGACCTGATTACTTTAAAAGACATAAGTCTTTCACTCGGTCGAATTTCGACTTGATATGCATGTATTTTTAACTCTATCTTTTCCAAGAAATGTGTAAATGCTTATTTTTATTAATGTTTATAATGCGGCATTTTTCCAACCCAGCAGTAAGCCCAAAATTATCAAACCTGTTTCCTCTTGACCGCCGATAACAAGAATGGCTTACTAAAAAAAGCGCTAAGCCAGGAAATGGCACTAGAAGTGGGTAAAACAATTTTTTCTATCGTGCTGTCGCAGAAAGTTTAACACATCTAAGGGTTTATTTGTAAACAGTGATTGCACGTATGTAGCAGTGTTTCCATTTCACGTTATATCTACAGAAATTGAAGGCTTAACATTTCCCGTCCAGAGCCAAAATGACACCCTCAATCACATCAGAATGTGGACTAAGTTTTGAGTCCCGCGATTAAATTTGTTAGGAAGTATGAACATTCAAATGAAAGCTGTAGAACAGTGCTTTTATGTGGTGTTTGTTTTCAGTTTTAACCAAATGGAAATTTTACACAATTTGGCCAATTTCTACTGATCTCCTGCTGTACTCTTAGGAGTTCAATGGTTGAGACTAAACATCGAGGAAATTAAAACATGGTGCAAAGAACTTTTATCAGGTCTATATTAAGTAACACATTTCGTCCTGTTAACAAGCCTTATGATGAAGCATGTATTTTTTTAAACTTTATGCGACAGGGCTGCTTCAAAATGTTATTTACCTTTGCTGCAAAAAGGTGAGGGAAGAATCGGCGACGATTTGAGTTAAATAGTCTCACTGTAGCCGGCTAATCTAGTTTCTTATGTCCTATAAGGCTCAAAAAAGCTTCTTGCAAACACGCAATGATGCTACTCATAGTGCGAGAATTATGTCGAAAGCTGGTTTAGCGCGTCTGTAAGCTCAACTAATCCGTATATACTTAAGGGTGGAATACGCATTGTGTGCAGCTGATGAGACGCGTTTGACATGACGTTTCTTTCAAAACACATGATGTTCTGAAACTTGCGGCCCTTCAAAGTTTAGGAGCATTGTTACAAACTCCAAAATTAGAAAATTTAAGCTTTTCAGGGCTGGATCCATTCGTCTCAAGTGAAGTTTTTAAAACGACCCCTCCTGTACGTGTGTTTTCGACCTGGCCGTCAACTGATGATTTACATAAGTTTTGTAAGCGTTGAACTGAGGCGATAGTACCAGCGAAAACCAGTGCATCAGACTCCATGACGTGTCTTGGTTACATGCTCTTGCTCTAGTTAGCTCTGCTGGTTTGCGTCGCTCACAATTTTGAGCCTTGTCAGATTTTAGAGCAATGATGCGAGGCGTTTAAATGCCAAACGCGTAATTCTACTCTCAAAAATGCCTTAATCTTTCACCCCCTAAGCCGGAACTTTGTGGAAAATAACTCTCCCTGAATATACGTTTGTGTCACGGCTTTTATCGCCAAACCACCGTCTTTTCAACTTCTCTGAGTTGGAAAAAATCCAAAATCTCAAAGTAAGTCCTCTTTTGTATATTGTTGTTAAATTGAGGTTAAATCTGTCTGGCGAAATGAGCATTTTCCAGAAATGCCCTTGCGTGTCCCAAGTAAAAATATGCCTATTGACAGAGTACTGGTGTGGTAGTCGTATTGACCTTTAAGTCCATAAGGGCTGGAATATAAATCACGTACATATCACGAGAGCAAGGAAGATATTCGAGGTACTTTTATTTGGTTGACAACTCCGGTTGATATTGACTGCTGTGCACATTACGGTTGTATTCAACGCTGGTTTGTTTAAAATTTCCTGTGTTTGTGTCAGTAAATAACGGTCAACAGAAACCTACACAGAGTTTGAATATAAAGGTAAGCCTACAATTTTAGGAGTCGCGGTAGAGTCCTGTGTATATTTTAATTAATGAAGTTATTTTCGTGCACGCTAGGTTTTTTTGCAAGAAAAATTTCGAGGGAATTTCATTTTCAGGTTGTTTATAAGAGTTGCAAAGTACGCGTGTAAGAACTAATAAAGACCTTACTAATTTTATTTCGTCTTCCGAAAAGCGGTCGCTGCTTTACTCTTCAAAATACCACTGCAATTATCACGGGCGAAGGTTTAAGACGTTGATCCGTTTATGAAAATTTACCGCGATGACAGAACATCGCCAAAATTAGCGAGGGTTAATTGATATGTAGAAGTTTCCATTTCTGTCAATGGTCGATCTTGGTTGGATTGCAATTTATATACGACTCGGCCTTCTTTCCGGTGAGAGGCGCTGTCTTTCACTGACTTGTAGGAAGGGATTTCCGAAAAGATTCTTCTCGAGTACAGCTTTAATATCTAGACAAACCAATAGCTAACCGTTACACGACAATAGAAACTGAGATCGCTCCGCACAAAGGCAGATATGGTAAAAACTGTTTTTTGCTTTTATCAGAATGATCATGTTTATAAAAACAAAATTTATTGGATTCGCAAACGATATGAATTGTCATGACTTTGTTTTAGTTATATAGTCGGTATGTCGATAATTAGTGTGAGCATCTTGTATTCGATGTCTATGGCTGTTGCCTTTACATTACGAATTGTGTTAACTAGTTCTTAGGTTGCTCTAGTAAAAGAACCAAGCGAGCAAACGAAGCGAGGAACTAATAAAATTCGGATTTGATTTAATTTCCGGCGAGACCCTTAGTGGTACAATTCGCGAGGACAGCAAGGTTTAATCCCTCCGATTTCACTTCAGATTTTATGAACCTCCTGTCAATTTTTATTGCAAGAAATTTCAAAACAGTGTCATCTCAAAAGAGTTGGGCGCCAAAAATTAATATACACAACACACTGAGCTGTGTTTATCTTCTTCAAAGAAAAGGCGTCGAAGAAAAAAGTACGCGAAAGATCGAACGCTTTTAACGGTCAACAGAAGTAAAATATTGAAAATTATCAACCCCAGAAGAAACAAAGGAAAAGCTGAAGTGAAATATTGAAAATTATCTGCCTAAGAAAAGAAATTTTCAATTATCAAATTTAAACAAAAATTTCAGAGATCAGAAGTCAATTGCGTCGATTGTGAGAGTCGGAGCCAATGTTTAACTATAATGGAGTAGCAAATATAAATATTGAAATTTATTATTGATAGCAGAGTCATGACCTGTGGTAGAACAAACGTTTTAGTTAATGTTTCCTTTCAACCAGTGAAATCGATCTTGTTAATTACAACTAATTACTTCTCTTCCACCGAGAGTCGGAATCTTGAAAGGCCGAATGACGAACTTCGAGTGATGTAAGCTTTTGTTTTACGGTGATCAATACAATTCAGAATTGCTCTCAAGAGCAGGAAAATAGTCGATTTCGTTGAATATTGGCACAATTGAAACGAATGCTATTGTATCAGTGTGAGTTAATGTGGCTCTAAGATCGTTATTTAGTTCAAGGGGTTTTGGTTTTGGTTCAAGTTCTTTGAAGGGCGCCCAAAGCGCCAGCTATGTTCCCTTTTGAATGCAAATAGACCTGAATGAGATAATTGCCAAAACATTCCCTTTTTACTTTATTACTTTGCTAAAGTGCTGCAAATTAGAATTGATGAGATCCTTCGCAAAATGTTGTGGAAATAAACACTATGGACAATTTGGATTTATTGAACGCGATTTTAATAACAGTTGCCTTTTGAAGAGGTTTAGAACATTGCCGCAAAATATTCGCGCCGCAGCATCTGGAAATGTACCCCGCCTCTCGTGATTAAAATAACAAAACTCTATCTTGTCATGCCCTTCCAAGTTTAATATACAAGGATAAAAACAATTATAAGAGGCAAAGGGTAATGGAAGCTACAAGACAATCACTTTAGAACTGATTGAGGGAAGACAGAAAAGGGGATTGTACTTTATTTTGACTCATCACAGCTTTGAGAGGTAAAAGTTACTCCAGAAGTCACAACGTTGGGCATAGCGCAGGAAATCTCTTGCCGAGGATCTCTAACGATGTTAATGTTATATTAACCTTTTTCTGCGGGGAGCCTCGCACATGATGGTAACACACTCATCGCTGCTCATTCCGTTTTTGTTTTCATTCCAGCACTGACCGAAAGGATTTCTACACAGTCTTCAGTTAGAGCTAAGAGCACAAGTTCTGGTTTGCTCTGTGAGTATACCTCTCGGCCAGTTCAAGAAACGAAATTACTAGTGCGAATCGCAACTGGTAAGTGACAATCGCATCTTCATCTGCCCCCGCCATGTTTTATTCTACCGTGGTAGAGTAATCTTGACTTCTCAATTTAATCCATGCTCCATCTATACGCCATTCTTGTTTTCAGAACATCTTTAAATATTTTTCATTACTGTATTAAACAGGGTTAAAAAATAAGCTACTAAAGCTATTAAAAGCCAGTGAAACAGCAACATTGCAAAACGAAAGCGCAGCAGACAGTCATACTAATCAGAGCATCTCGACTGATTTCGTTCCGCCATTTGACAAGCAGCTCCCGTTAGTCTTTATTAAATCCGTGCTTGGATTACACAGCTCTGTTTCTGGTTTAGATATGTGTTACTTAGAAGGCAGAATAATTTTAACCTTTAAGTCAACGCGACTAAATTGTAGGCAGAGGTTGTCAGAGCCGTAGTTAATGACCCGACCATTGATGCCCGGAAAGTCGAGCGAAATCACTTCCTTACGAAAAACGTGCTAAGTACTTCTCGACCGAGATTTAGCACTGAGCGTATTTTCTAGCTAAGTCGAATTTTACCTGCCTGTTTATCAGCTTGTGGGAGGGACAAGTTCTTCAGCTAGACGAGCACGGAATCCAGGACAATTTACAGAGGCTTATGACCGTGTCGTATTCATCAACACAACAACATGCTGTGTTAAACACCGCCCCAAGGATTGCGAAGAAAAAGCCAACAATAAACTCTTTGTTCCCGATGATTTTAGTTACTGTAGCTTGATAGGAAAATTGCATTGCACACCAATAAGGCGACATTGCCTTTATAAGTTGTCGTATTTGGAAACAGCTATTCCTTTAGGCCCTTTAATAATAGGATAGAAAAGAAATAATCCTTCGAGGTGAAAGAAAGATCACCAAACGCTTTCAAAAACCAATTATTCCGATAATAAGAATCCACGAAATCCCGCAAAGCGCTTGTATCGATATATCTGCCTTCACGTTGTAGTCATTACAGCACTTGTCAAACGGTTCTCGTTGTGTTTTCACTCAGAAATATTTCCCACTTGTCAACCGCAGAGTCTGAGAACTCACACAAGAGGTGAGTTTCCCACACAGATGGTCAACTGTTTCGCGGTTAATAGACAGACAACCTTTTAAGATTAGTATTAAAAGAGACAGGACGACCTACAACAGACATGTGCTATGGGGCTTACCTGTCTTGATCTCTGCTATGACCCGAGAAATTACAAAAAAGCAACAAGCTTTGTACGAATTTAACGACCTTCCTGGATCAATATTTACGTCGATGTTTTTACAGTTCCCTGTTAGATTGAGCGTTTCGTGTTAAAGTTTGTGTTTGCTTGCACTTCATATCGACTTCGAGATCAGCATGTTATAAAGGACAGTTAAAAGTATCTTTATCTCTGAAAGAACTCGGTGCAATCAGTATTTCGAAGTGTCGATCTGTACGTTGTGTGGAGATAATTGCGTAAAAATTGTCTTAGGCCATTTGAACAACGCAAAGGGTGTTTGAGATCGCTTATCGGGTGACCGATCCCTTAGTCATTGAGACCAAAGGAAACACAGTTTGGAGTACTGTTTATATAAGACTGTTTATAGATCACGAACGTAAATTAGATACTTACTAATGGCGCAACTGTTTTCTTGTTCATGTAGGTCTTCACTGACTGAACACAAAAATGCGTGAACAGACAAACATTTGGACTAAGATGAAACGGGGATTCCACTCAAAAGAACAAAATAATGTTCTGCTGACGCGCAGCGGGAGGGTTTTCTAAATAAATGTTTGAATTCCAAGCGGGAGTCCTGGAGTACCCCTCACCATGTGGTTTCTAACGGAAGCCAATGAAATAAGAAATTGTTTTCTTTTTGTCAACGTTTGCATTGAGCTACTCCATGATCGTGTCGCCCTGCTCTCTCTTAGTTCCACGTTGTGTGCCTGAAATTGATCGAAAAACCACAGCGTAAATCCTAATCCGGAAACTTGGCGAACAAAGCAAATGTTCGTGCATGAATTCGTCACTCACGAGGGTACAAAAAGAAGATTCGAGTGTTCAATTTTGCAATGCGCAAAAAATGTCCGTGTTCGGGGGAAAAGCAAATTGAATTTTAGGATTTAAAAATTGATTGAAGTAGTGCCAATAAAATGTCACTGAGTATTCGGTTTTATTCCAATCTAATACTCTTTTGCCAAGAAACTTTAGAGTACAATCTCAAAATCTCAGCTTAGCGAAAGCCTTTTTTTTTTTAATTTTTTCAAGGTTGACTGAATCACTCTCTTGTGCTTGAGTATAATAACACTTTATTCTGTAGAATATCAGCCTTTCATTTGAGAAAAGCCACAACAGGCGACTTAATTTGAATTTTGCTTTACTACGAATTTTTCAATAAAACGCATTCTTTTTTGTTGAAAATGAAAGTAAATTTTTTGATTAAAGATTCAGTGTTATATCTTACTTTGTCTTTTAGCATTACGTTTGTTATAAAATGAAACAGGCGAATTAAATTAGGGTTTAAAATTTTTGGCCACAACTTTGGCCAACCTTTTGCCCCATCCGTGATGAATGGTTTAAGTTCTTTCACGATCTTTGAGAAAAACGTTTCAATATCTTGATTACAAACAACTGACCTAAATAATAGGCTCTAACGGCACATTTGGCGCAGAACCTTTTTCTTAATTGGTTAACAAAGGAACTGGGGGTTGAGAGGGGGTGTTCAAAAAAGAATGGCTTTATTGTCAGCTTTGTCTGATCTGTAGAAACAATTTATACGATTGAATAAAACCGAGCAACCCACTCACTCATGAAAAGTCGAGAAGCTTCACTCGAACCCACCAAGATAAGCATTTAAAAGACAGCAGATCTAGATGTTATGTCTGGGAAGCGATATAAAAGGAAGAAGCTGACATTTTCTTGTTTTAAAATTCCAGACCCACTAACTAAAAGATCTTTGCCTCCGTGACATGTCGTTAAATTCAGAAAAAAGAGACAACTGTTTCAAGTAAAACAAAACTTTGACTTGGTGCCGAGAGTTTGAGTGTTAAACCGATGAGGCAGTCGTTCTCTTTGTTTACCAAGGGTGGCGTGTTACAGACTGCCCGCTTTTTCCAATAGCCTGAGCTTATAAGCAAGGCCCAAAAACCTAACAGTCTTAAAATTAAATCGCTAATTAGTTCACCTTTGGTTCTAATTGAAAATCTTTTGAATTCGGGATAGATACGAATCCATCCATCTTGAGTGACATAATAAAAGTTGACTTTTGCCGGCCGTTGTGTGGTGGCGCAAATACAACTATGGAATAAAAGGATCACTACGTTTTTCGTGTCTTTGAGAATTAAGCTTTTCGCTAGGAGGCCCCATTCTTGTGTCATTTCATGCAATACTTTCATTAAACAAAATGATTAAAGCCTTCAGTAAACTGAAGTTGTCACTGGATTAGTGCGCGCGAATCCATGGAACATCCGTCCTATTCTTTGAAAAATTAAATTAAAGGAGGTTATTCTTTCAACTTAACGGCCATAAGGAGTCACTAGCAATGTCTCGAATCAGGAAGCCATTGGCTTTATTGCATGACGAGCAAGTTGTGACAAAGGACATCAAAGAAAGAAGCAATGTCCTTTTCTGTGTATGAGACACAAGACGGATGCCTGCCCATCCCGAGTTCTTACTTTTCCAAATGTGTTCTCAATTCTTTCCTCAAGGAAACGCGAGCTGTTCAATTAGTGAGTACTCAGTGTTTTTCAGTGCACTCACCCTTCTGTTTAGTCATTAGCTACAACTCACTCGTCGTGAAACAAGGCTATCAATCGCAATCTTTCAATATCTACGACTCTGCGGTTTCCTTTCGTAAATTAACGACAAAAGTAAGTACCAGGTCTGTTTTATTATCTTCTCGCGGATCAGAACGCGACAACATATCCGCAGTGCTTACACTTTTTCAACTCGCTCTTACAACGAGTTTGGTGATTAATTAATCTTGTAAACTGATTCTCCACACGTGTTTTAAGCGAGATTTTGAATTACGACCTTTCATTTCCAATTATTACTTCCATCCAACGACTTCTTCATCACGAAACACTCGCATGCACCAAAGAATTGATTCCTCATCCTGATCGTCTGGTCTTTATTGACCTGTATTTCCTATTTACTAGCAGAAAAATAGCTAGTGAAATTAAGTTAATCCTCAGCCAAAAGAAATGTCTTCACAGAAAGTTTGGACCCGAGTTCAGTAATTGTAAGGTTCCCGGCTTTTACTGTAATATCGGGGACTGCAGTAGCTCAGTCAAGTTTTTGTGGGTGGGATAGGGTCGATCTGAAGTTTCACCTGGGTCGGCTTAATCGCCATATCAGATCATTGAATTAAGAAAATACTATATGACTCCTCTATGTCTCTTTACCTTTTTTCTTAGGGTAAAACAAACACGAAAGCCTATAAATCTTGTGACCTTCTGTCGGACAAAATCATTGATGTGCATGATTTGTTGTTTGTTCGTAACACGATTTTCAGGATTGTTTGACTTGCAATCGGTTGGGTATCTTTTCAAAGCTATGAAAAAAAAAATCTCTGTCTCATATTCTACTTGAATAAATTCCAAGCCAAAAAGAAAAAAAAGTAACTGCTGATTAACTTTTTGTCATCGTTTGGACGGAAAGAGCTCTTTAACGTATTAACTACTTTCAACCACTTTGATGTTCTGAAGTTCTGAGGTTTTTCTTAGCTCAAAAAGGTTGAAAAGTTCGTGGACAATGAAATGAAATTATTCTATAGATCTCTGCTCAGATCGGCGTCAACAGAATTCCTTCACAATACGACTGATGACGTGTTTTCCAATTAACTAACGTCAGCGGTGCGTTAACTAGATGCTAAACGACAGAACGAAAGCGTGATAGCGCAATTGGCTTTTTCGTTTCTTAAACAATACGACTTCTTTTAAACTGGATATATCAGAACGGTTTTAAAACTTAATAGATTGTGTGCGAGTGAGTTCTAAGCAGTCTTTCTAGGTGATTCGCTGCGACAATTGTTAACAATCATTATACTTTTGTTCTCGCTTATTTCAATGACTTCATTGGAGCAAAAATCATACTTATTAATTAACTCAATGGCTCCTATTGGTTCTCGTAATTAATAACAAAAACTAGACCGTGTCAGTTTTATTATGTCTCCTTGCAGATTTTGTTATTTTCTTTTCAAGTGCTATAGATTTGCGGAATCCTCTTCAACAAATGTCACTTATTTCGTAACCCATCATCACGGAATGGACTTCCGCAATGAAAATTAACGGCATTTTTCCGCAGTTAAACTTGAATTTTTCCCTTTTTACGATGGGATTTTATCACGAGAGCCGTCGAACCTTTTGTAGTTATTTTAACGCTAGCTGTTAATGGAAGGGAAATGTTCCAGGATAGATAAGTGTTTGAATGTTTCCGTTTGAGAATATTCACGAAGAGGGTTCTAGCGCGAAAACGTGCATGGTTTCAATTCTCGTGACATCGTGACAGTCTTAATCCAATGTGAATTTTTCATTTTGGAGCAATGCGGCTTCCTTTTTGGCTACCATTGCAAATTGTTCGACCTCCCACATAGCCTTAAATTAGAAAAAGAGCAATGAATATTCTTGTTTTGATGTACGACAAATAAAAACGCTAGCCTCGTTCACTGGCGTGGAACGGCGGGCTGCAAAATTCGCTAAGGTTTGGTCACCTAATCGCACGCATAGTTTCCTTGACCTGGATCCAAATAATCTGGCAAGTTGGGTGTAGCTTTCAGGGGCTTGTTTTTATTATGTTGAATTTCAGGAAGGTCCTTTAACAAGCGGATTTTCTGTCCCGTCTTTTGTATTAATACCTTGACAGGTATGATCTGCAGGGGGGGCCTTCAGGGGCCAAGCCGGTAAAGAAGGTCGCGCGACTAAGCCGCGAGCTCATCATTTCGTGTTTTCATTTGATTCCATAGCACGCGGCCTACAACTCACTCTCTAGTTTACACCAAGAATCCAAAATGGCGGGCTTTCTGAACCATTATCCACCGTACCCGGTCAATGGACTTAACATGCCTCCAAGAACCGCCGACATGTTTTCCCCAATGGTTGCTCCACCTTATGGTAAGAGTCAAGATTTCAACTTTATTTTTAGACATGAAAGAACACATGCATAATGCCTCGTCAGAGTCGGCATTGTACTAACACATTATGGTTATGACAATTCGAATGAGTTCGCGGTGACCAGAAGAATAGTCTTTTCAGAAGAAGGAAGTTTTTTCCTATTTTCGGGCTGTGTTAGATACTTCGAGAGGTCTTTGAAACCACCATTGGTTAGCTCGATTCTTGTCTATTTAGTGCGTTTTCTAGTTAAGCGAGACCTCCCAGATGCGTGGATTTAGAATTCGTGAAAGGCATTTCGATGAGTGCAAGCTTCGACAAAGCCTATTTAAGAGCCCTCACCGGGGACAAAACGCGAGATAAATTAGTACTTTTTCCCAAATATTGGCAATCACACTAGATTCGTTAACATCTGTTTCGTATTTGTCTCAACGGATTTTTGCCTATTGCACATAAATATAATCATCAAGTTTGATTCTTGTTAAGATGGTCACAAATCGTTCAAATCTGCTGCAGCGTGGAACGTGCCTGATTTTCATCTAGGATTTGTGGGCGCGAAAACTATTTAAGTTAGGCCGATTTTCAAACGACTACGTATTTTTAGACAAGCGTCCATTAAGGGGCATAGATACATTCTTCCTGTTGAAATATCCTAACTACTCGTTTGCGGCTAGGAAAGCCGCTGCTGTGAAGCCTGACATTAATGATAACATTATTACTGAAAATATACATTTGGCCGCTTCTGTGGTTAATGACTGTAGCTTTGATTTGACGGCATTTACAGTTATCTTTCCAATGACAACGGAAATATCGTCAGTGTTCTTCTTAGTGAGATCAGTAAAACAATAAAAAACATGATAAAGAGACCGCAATTTAAACAGTGCAATGTTATTTCCAGTTTATTATTGGCATTGCAAATGATAAATGGGCGCCTGCTGAAGAAACAGATCAACTCAAATATTTATTCTTTCAATTTTACCAAACTGAATACCTCTGAAAATATCGCACCTGGTCTCTTTAAAGATCACAGCCGAGCATACCATTGTTTGAAATTCAGAAAGCACCAAAGTAAATATTTTTATACAATGTTTAACATATCAAGACTTCACTGATTGTTGTATTTAAGTTTAGGAGAAAGGACATTTAGAGAAAGAAAATTTAGAGAATTGTCCACGATTCCTATAACTCAAATTTAATTGGTTTGGTGAAGGTTCCACTGCTTGCAGTAGGATAACGAAATGCCGATGTTCTAAGGCTGAGATATTGCTGTATGAGGTATCCAACCAATGCAGAAGAAGTTTCAAAGAATTTTCTCGTGATTCCATGCAACTATATTTTCAGGCTACCCAAGAAAACAAAGACGTGAGAGGACAACTTTCACCAAAGCACAACTAGAAATATTGGAGGAGCTATTCTCCAAGACAAAGTATCCTGATATCTTTATGAGAGAAGAAGTTGCCATGAAAATCAATCTACCAGAATCCAGGGTTCAGGTAAAAAAGATCTCAGTTTTTTCTGAGTTAATGAATACTCTTATTCTCTAGACGTGCAACATTGCAGTGAAGGCGGAGAGCTAGAGGATGGCGACAACGGTGTCAAGTGAGTCCCTAATCGGGGGGCATGCGACAAGTTATAAAATATGCCCATCGGAATGCCTGAAGCTTGCCTACTGGCAATTATTGTAAAACCTGTCTTTTCTATAACTCGATTTTGACTGTAAAAAGACAACTGAGAACGTTAGGAAACTTTGTATTTCAAAAGAGTCGAAGGTAGCGAGGTGGGGCCGGGAATGTTGGCACTGCTTAACTCCAAACGTTTGATATGAATACACTAGGTATTTTCACAAAGATCAGAGAGTTTGTTCTCTTTTCTCTCTTCTTCTTCTCTCTTTTTCCCAGTCGAGTCACTCAGGTGGAATTACAACTCCCTAAATACAAAGTTAAAGATTTTGCACGCCATTCCTCTCTGTTTCCTTGAATTCCACAAATTGATGGAGTTACAACAAGCTAAGCATCTTCAAATTCTTTTCTCGCAAATTTGTCAATATGTCTTTGTTTTGGTTCTTGAACTGATGTTTGGCCCCAAATGTAAACGTGTGTTAAGCATGCAAAACTTTTTCCTGTTACATCGGGGTTACTCTATAGCATAGTTTCACGTTTTGTTGGTGGCTTCAGAACAATAAACCTGTGTCAATTCTTGGCAAAATCCTGCTGGAACTACTCTGAACTCAGTTAGGACAGAGATAATCGGTTGTCTTTTTGGCCTCCAGCAAACACATTTTCTATACGTGCTTTGGACCAAACTTGACAACATTTAAAGAAGACAAGACGGTTTTTTGTTAACCGCAAATTGGCTGCGCAATGAAGAAAAGTTTTCCCATTTTTTCCGGCACGTTTACATGATTTGCCAATTTTGGGGTCAATTCTTCAACGTCTCCCAATTCATTTGGTTCGTGTGTTAAGAGATGATTCCTTCTCGTCAAAAGTATCAAATATGGAGGAAGACAAAGGGAATAACCTGTCCATATTAACAAGAAAACTACGTAGAAGCCGTGATAGTGAAAAACGGTCAACATAATCCCAACTTAAGAATTGTACAACTGAAACTCACAGTCGTAGTCGGTCGTTTGTGGAAAATTGTTCCATTTAGTTCGTGTTTTAAACAATAAAATGTGATAAATCTTAATACTTGAGCACCCATTTTTTTTACTAAATGATGAATTTACCCTAAAATGACCAGGTTAAGGTACTTTCAAACAGGACACATCCAAACTGAAAAACATGTTATTGAGTCTTCATACGTCATTCCTACAGGACGTTTTGTTGTCGAGAATTTAACTGAATGAAAATTGAGTGGGATGCAAAACAGTAAAGCATCATTTTAATTTTTCAGTTTTAATTGCCAATTTCAGATAGAAAAAATTCGTATGCAGTTTGGCCCCAGCCTAGCCCCAAGTCAGGTGTAATTCAGTTAATTAAATTAAAATATTTCAACTTCCGAGCATTTAGCCTTTTAAGGGTGCCTGTGTTGTGTACGTACACACAATTGTAGTGTCAAACATTTCACGCCCTCAGACAACCCATCTGTTCTCACGTAATGTCTTTAAGGTTAATTTTTCTTTCATTCGAACCTTTTAGGCTAATAAAGAACCTATATTTCGCGATATTATCAAACAAATTTGATTTTACTCCAAGAAGAATGTCTCTTTATGTTATACATGCGCGTGTTTTATGATCGCGTGTGCAGGCTTGTCTCGACAGTGAGCTTGACCTCCGTTTTGCGTGCGTTGTTATATTACGTGTCTAGCTCTATATTGTATTTATTTCAAAATGAAACTTTCCAGAAAAAACTACTTAAGGCCTTTCCCAAAAGTCACGCTCACTTAAACCGGCGAAAAGTTGTATAAAACCGCGATAAAAAACATCACTGTAACCTTCCTAACTTGTTAACTGAGTTTTATTGAGTTGTTAGATCAACTTTTCCTGGTAAAGCTTCTAATCAAGCTTTCGTTAGTTTTTCCCGTCTTATCTGTTCAAACCGCTATTACTACTCAGTATAAACCGCCACTAGATACAAAATAAACAAACCACTAGACAACAATTGAATTCCACTTGTTTCGCAGGCGCCATTTGCAATTAAACGGAGTATTTTTTGTTTATTTTGATCATACAACAGGTGTGGTTCAAAAATCGACGCGCCAAAGTACGGCAACAGAGTAAGGGAGAGCCCAAACCCAAACCCAAGCCAAAGACACCCGCCGCCAACAAGGACACCAGTCAAGCAGGGCCTTCTCCCTGCAGATACGCCAGCTGCAGCGCCAATATCTGGAGCCCCGCTCACGATTCAGTTCGGCCTATGCCCACATATCCATCACACGCCGTTATCAACAACAGTATGGCTATGTCCAGTGCAAATCCTTCATTTATGCCACCACCACCTCCCCCTCCGTATTACTGCTCAAGTCCAAACGGTGGATCTTATATGCCTTTAGAGCATGCGCACATGCATCCGATGGCACCCAGATAAATTGTGTGTTGTCATGGAGATTCTAAAAAGAGGCAAAAAGCCCTTTTAAAAATGTAAGAAAACTATGTTAATATATGCGGGGTTTTTCACAAAACCAGTTAGTTTAGTAAATAGCTTATTCTGCAAATACAGTTCTTTGACAGTAATCCTTATATAGTCTACAAGCCAGCTGAAGAAACCTTGTTTAGTGTCTAATACGATAGAAGTATCGCTTCCTCCGAAACGCATTTAAGGGATCAACGTTCTAGACTTATTCTTAGAATCCTCTAAAACGTGACTTTCAAGAAACAAAACCTGTTTTTCTTTGGCATTAGCGGGCAAAACCTTTTAGAGTTTTATCAATATCTTTCTGTGAGGTAAGGTCGACTTTGGAATAACGCGTCCGTTCGTTGGGGACCACAAGAATGCAGACTCCTGGCTCTCTCGGCACGAAAGCTGGGAAATCAGATGCGTTGTAACTTGATGTGGGTAAATAAGGTATATTGACTCCTTGTTGGATTATGAACGAGTAAATGTTAGCGTGGATGACTGCTTTTCTTAGTTGTTTAGTTTGCAAGTGTTGGTGTCCTCTTACATGCGTTTTTGAATAGACCCGACCGTTCGACGCTGGCAACTTCCGGATTTAGCATGAAGCTATTAAGTGTTATTGTGTCCTTTTATCACTCAGGAGAAGAATTGGTTTGGTTTTTTAGCCCTTGATTTCCAGGATTGGACCAATTAACTCTTCCTCGCAGATCACCATGCATATCTTGTACTGCTAGCTGTTGCCAGCTGTGATTTTTCGTAATATTTTCCACCTGCCCGCTTCAAAAAGTATTCAAATTGTTCCAAGAAATAACAAGAGGAATTACCTTTTAGCTCCTACATGTGCAAAGGTACAAACTTGACAATTCAGTGGAGCAATCACTTAGGAAAGTAAATTACTTAACAGTATCAACGAGAAGTATTTCTCATTAGCTCTCATATGAATGGTCACACTTTAGGATTTCATCCACAAGGTAGAATCTTCTTTCATGACCCAGACAAATGGAAAGGGGGCGTTTGATCTGTATCCATAGCGATCTTTCAACTGCAGCGTGCACTGTGTTTGAAGCGCTTTTTTTGTTTGTTCTGCTGCCCATCAAGTTAATGTAGCTTCCACTTGTTTCTAATGTCAACAACATGCATATATTTAGTTGAAAGCTACCTGATCGATATTTTAAAAAATGTTACAAATTCAGTATACTAAAATACTTTTCCATGAAGAATGAAAGTATTATCGTATAATTTTGTCTTATATTTTTGCCATTAGCTCTTACTGGCTTACGTTTCGATAGGTTAAACGAAGCCCCTATCAATTATAGCATATGTGCCATCACATCATACGACATACTGTCATAGTAAACTAACTGTTGTTTGATTCGACGGAGCCAACCTGTATAATGTAAATAAGGAGAAGGAGAAAGGTTTTAGACATATAGTGTTATAAATAGGTATATAAACGGGCCGATGGGCCAACCATTTAATGAAATGATCATATGCTTAAATATAATTATATATTTTTGTTAATGAAGCTAAATGGACATACTCTTTCAGTTCTGATACCAAAAAGCAAGCTATCTTTGCTGGTCTTCTTGCAGTTCATATGATCAGTAATTTTGATTTTGCATGGATCTGCAAGGATGACCAATGAATCAAAGGGCTGAATGGGTTCATGAAGGAAAGTGTTTCTTTATATTATTTTGAATTCGTTTAATATACGAAATGATTGCATAAGTTAAGCTTCATTGTAAAAAATGTTAAACAGCCATAAATCGAATTTACGCAAAAAAAAATTATACATGGAATAAAATACGTCAAAAAATTTGATTTGTCGTTTGTATGACAATGATGTGCATATATAACAGGGCAATGTTTTTTCCTCTTGTTGACGGCAGCGCGGTCGACAGGTCCCGGTATATTTGCGAAAATTTCTTGCAAGGGCTTGAAACCTGCACTCTATACATTCTAAGCTTTTGGGGAGCAGAGTTGGCGCAGTGGTGAGAGCGCTCGCCTCGATTCCTGCCCCGTGCTGTATGTGGCTTGAGTTTGTTGTTGGTACACGCCTTGATTGGAGGGTTTTTCTTCGTGTTCTTCGGTTTTCCTCCGTCTACAAGAACCAACATTTCCAAATTCGAATTCGACCACGATAGAGGGCCCGCATGAAAATCACTGAGCTAAAGCTGATGTAACTTCCTCTCTAAATATTTTAATTGATTTATTTAGCAAGGGTTGTAACTTAATGATCCTAAGTTCAAAGCTCTTCTTAGTTGAGATTCTTAACATGACCATTGCCAGTTTGCTATACGCCCTTTATATTTTTCTCCGTTATTTATCATGATTTATGTGTATGCATCATTCATATGCATACACATTTCGAGGAACAGTTGGACCCCGTTAATTCGAACTCCGTTAGTTTCGAACTCCCCGTTATTTCGAACTCAAAACAATTGTCCTTGGATACAATTGCCCTTCAGTCATTTACTATCGGTTATTTCCAATTCCCGCTATTTCGAATTAGTTTTCGTTTCCTCTGTGGTTCAGCTGTATTCATAAACCTTTCTTTTCGCGTCATCGATGCACGGGTAGCGTTATAAGGGCTTTGCTCGAGGTCAACCAATCCACTCACAAAAGGACTGTAGGGTAAAAAATATATGATAAACGTATTTTAAAGCAAACGTCTTTATCAAAATTTCTATCCCTTTATTTGTTGATAGCTATCCAAAAATGTTCCATGCCCTCTGGGTAATTCGTTGCATTCCATATCGAAACGATTTCAGATAATTGTTTTCTTTCGAAAGAACAACTTCAATTGAAACTTCAACTGGGTTTATCAGCTGCTAATTTATTGATGTAGTTTCTATCTGCGTGGAAAACGAAAAAGTTCAAAAAAAAGTCAGAGATATAATGGGATGATACAATGGACAGTTTATTTGCCCTTCGGCGCAATACAATTTAAAATGATTTGTCATAAATACACTTATTTAAAAAGGAACGCTGTTTTATTTCTAACACAGATATGCACGTTCCGCTGCTCAATGTCAGCAGAAAAATTCCAAGCTCTCCTCAGAGTTTCTACAGACACCCTGAAGGATCACTAGGGAGAATCTGTTCAAACATCAAGTCAGATTTCATTATACTGTTTTAAATTCTCCTTACCAATTTTCTTAAGATGCAGGCGATTTGTACAAGGCGAAAATAGAGTTTAATCACCCTTGTGTAAGCGTCAAATGCTACTTTCATGGAACCCTAGTAATGGTCTACATTGTTTGTTGTTGCATAACTACCATAGATTTTGAAACTTATTCTGGCGAAAGATTTTCAAGAGATGGGAATAGAGGAGAATCGGTGAATCTTTAAGGCCTAAAGGAGACAATTGAACGTTTTAATGAGATTTCAGATTAATTTGACTGAAATGCTGAGTTAATTCTCAATTAGACGCGATTTAAAACTAGCAGAGTATAAACACAGTGGAGGCTCTCCCAAAGTGATAAGAGACGAGTTGTTCTCACGTACTAACAGTGAGTGGTTTAGATAAAATAACTTATTTTTATTTGGTCTGAGACCGTAAAGAAGTTGGAAGTTAGAGCCGAAAAGATTAAGCTGTTGTTTTTTAAAGTAATAAGATCTATGCAGAAATCTGAGATATTTATGAAAATAAGTTTAGTCTTCATTTTGGTCACCTCTGTACACATTGCTAATAATTTAAATTTGTGGAATATTGTTTAATAAGGGCAAGTGGCGAGTATTAAATATTATATTCGACAAGTCTGTTAACATACGTCTGTTAACATAAGTCTGTTACCTTTGTTACTGAGGAGTAGAGTTTTTTTAAACATCGTTAATTACCTACAGATAAGTTGCATTTGTCGCTATATATGCCTGCTGTGATTTGAGTTTTCTCACAGCAAAGAGAAGTGTTCAGAAGTGTGCGCGAGGAAAGATTTGACACTGTTAAGTTCAATACCGGTAAATAAATAAAAAAATCCTATTGAATTGTCAAACTGAGAAGCCGTTTCCCACTAAATAAGGGTACGTTAAAACGAAATCAAACCAAAATCATAAATCTTAGGCTTATTGTCCTCCGGTCCCCTCCTAGGACTAAACTGAACTCAATGTAAAAATATATATTTACTGTGGCTCTCTCTCTTTCTCGGAGTTCTCACGATGTTACCAGAAGAGACAGGACTAAATTGTAAACAGATATTTTTGTAGATCATCTATAGATCAGGATCAGCCTTTGTGTAACAAGCAAACTCTTAAAACAAAGGCTTGTCAAATGTCTGAAAAGTATAAGTGAGGATGGAAAACACGGCATGTAGTGAACCTGAATTTTCGTTTTCTTTTGGAATAAGTATGTACATTAATTAAGGAATGTAAATTTGAAATGGTAGAACCAGGAGCCCGGTAATGGGCTCCTGGTAGAACCCAAAGAGCAAACCGCCGTCTCTTACTCTTTCTGGACTTGATAAGCAAGTGAGACGCTACAATTGTCTAAGAAATAAATTATTATTAATTACTAGTCGTGATCGTCATCATCGTCATCATCATCATCATCATCCACGTGATCATAGTCGTCATCGTCATCAGTTTTATTTTTCGGGCCACTGGATACATGATATACCAACTTACTAACTTTGACATTAATTCTGCACACTGATTGTCAGACGTTTGGTCTGAAGTTTATTTTGATCTTTGAAAGCTTGTTCGCACAGAAAACTAGCATACTCAAGTTGACGAATTTCTTCGCTTTCGTGACTTGTCTGGACGTCTGCTTGGCAACATACTGATACTGAGAATAAAAAGGAGAATAAAATAAAAAGGAAAATTATCCGACTAACAAAGTATAAGCTGCCGCACTGTTTTTGTAGACAGCTCAGGGGAAGATTTTAGCTTAACCTGACAAAGAATCGTTTCTCTATAATCAGGTTATCTAAACATTTAAAAAACCGTGTTGTTTATCGTCCCGAAGTCGGAAAAGTCTTCCCACGTTTCTTATAATGTTCGGTATTTACAGACTCGTGCTTTCTCACCGTGATAACTATATATGCTGAAAATGCGCAGATCCGCGCTGATTGGAAAGTTAGAAAGACCGCAAATAACTGACAGATGAGTAAAAGATTAGACTGGATAAAGCTCGCTGGAGTCTTAACGTTATTTATTTTGCCTGATTAATGAGAAAAAACACTGAAAGGCGGCTAAATTTACAGGCTAGTTGATTATCGACAGATTTGTAAACTTTCAAGCGTTTTTTAAAGAAGAAGTGAGAAGACAGAATCTGTTATTATTTTTGTCTCAAAACAGATCTAGAGATCAAAGCTGAAAAGAATATGCCTCTAGAGCGGCGAATCAGTATAGTATATGAAAACTGGCCGACTCTCGAATAGTCATAACATCTCGCGGTTACCACATCCCGATTTATCACAGTTTTGGAACACCAGCACGTGCTAAACCTTATGGGACGGCTTTAACAATACCTTAGTATCGTCTGTGAATAGACGGATCAGAACTAGTACAGATCAATGTTTGCATTTTTCAATTAGAAATCCAACCGATTATTTCATAAATAAGCTAATTAGAAAAAAGCGTGGGAAATTTTCATTAATATTATACCACGTTTGTAGAGTTATAGAAACTTGTCAAATCTGAGAACTTCGATGTCTATGAATTTCAAAATTCTGCAGTTCACTGGAAATGTGGAATTCGCACAGTATTCATCTTCTCCACACACTCTCCACGGTTTCTGAATGTGTCTGCTCATCTCTCTCTCTGCCGATTTTCAGACTGTGTGTGTTAGCTGGCTGAATTAACTTTTTACGGCTTATGAGGAAATCACATCAATTCAGTTGAAAGATTATAACTAAAGACTATAAGTGATATCTTGTTTGCGATTGTTTTCATTTGAGGTGCTTCTCAATTAACTATCCGGATTATGCAGAGACAGGCCTAACAGAGGACAATCTTGCCTACAGGTCGCCTGTTTGAGCTGATAAACAGACAAAAAAATCGCTATGATTATATTAGTGGGATAATCTACCCTTTACTCTCTTATAAGAATTCATTTAAAAGCAAAGAAATACCCATTTCTTATGACACTTAACTAAACCCAGTTTATCTCGAAGGCAAAGAAGCTTAACTTTTTTCTTTAAACCATAAGTCAGAGTAACGTTGTGTTTTTCATTAATGGCCTTTTGAGCTCAATCAACACGTTTTTCACAACTGACTTTTACTTTGGAGTCAATTATTGTGCTAAAATATTGATTGTGGACCTTACCAGCGAACATGTTAACGGAGTGACTGTTAAATAAGAAATGGAAACTAATGTCTTCTTTTGTGATCGATCTGTAGCGTTTTGTTGTACGACTAATATAATGCTAAACAGAAATTTTATAAGACCAAAGAAAATTCGCAACTGCATGAGAGATCAGATTTAAACCGTGGGGTGTCAAAGAGAACAGCTGAGCACTCCAATAAGCCTCTTGTGTATTCCAATAAGCAACTTGTGAAGTAGCAGTGTATTTCAACAATATCCAACATACTCTAGGTGATTTTTCATTTCAATGTATTGATCAGGTGCAGGCCCCAAACAATTCTTCTGAGATCGATAAGTTTTTAATTACAAGAGGCTTATTGGAGTGCTCAGCTGTTCTCTTTGGCATCCCACGGTTTAAATAAAAGAAGGGAATTTGATTCAAAAAACAGAATTTGTTTTAATTAATTTCCGCTCCCATAGCTTACGTTCCTGATTAATCGTTGAAATACCCTTTTCTTGTATTTTGACAGCCTTTTAGGTGTTAGGTGGTTTCAAAAGCCCTGCCCAGGGAA